TGGGACATCGAGAAGTCAGCCGCCGACTCGATCCCTGGTCGGGACGTGTGGGGCGGGTAGGGCGAGGGAGCGGTTGGGGTCGCGACTCGGTGTGCGATTGCAGGAATGCTAATTAGGCGTAATTCGCATAAAATTCGCAAACAGTGGCTGTCACTGGCCCTGCCAACGGGAGTTGCTCTCCATTGAAATTGCCCCAAAGCGGAGGACCAACTTTTGATAATTTACTCCAAAGGCGTCACTCTGAATGCCCAGTGGTTTTAATATTTTCCCGTTTTGGGTTTCATTTGATAAATATTAATTATTGATCAAAAAAATAAGATTTTAAGCAGCCCTAAACCAGGTTTTAATTAAACATTCAGTCACTAAAGTAGAGGGGGACAAGAATATAACTACCGAAAAGAAAAGAACAAAATCGAAAGCATACAGAAAAACAATAAAGAAATATTATTTTTTCTCTCTTACCTTTGGCCCACCATCTTGAAGGCGACGATTCCGCGTCGAACGAAGAAGCGTACGCGAGCGAGACGGTTTTCGAGCGAACGATTTACGAAACGAATACGAAAACGAAAACGCACTAGCACTGAGAGCACCAATTTTTGGTAGATTAAAATAAGGTGAGGCATAATTGAACTAGAGCACCAACGAGAGAGAGAGAGAGAGATCACCAAAACCTCACCTCACCATGCGAGATAGCTGCACACGCTCTTTTCTTATTGCTTTTCTCCTATTCTTCACATTGAATATTGGAGAGGGAAGGGGACAAATCTTCTCGCCTTTTTTGCACACACTAACACACACATTGCCAGAGATTTGCATACAAAAATTAGTATGCACATTTTGTGCATAAAATACACAATACACTTTTTCACTTTTACTATCACTTTTCACTTATTGCCAATATTTCCGCTGCCGCTCTGCCTTCTTATGCCATTTTGGATCAGGAACTTTTTCTTGCCATCTGGAACACTGACTCAATATACTGCAACCAACTGAGAGAGCGTGGACACGCTGCTCTTTTCTCCACTGCTTCACATTGGGAATTGAAGAGAGAAGATGATGAGTCATCACGCATTATGCCATCAGGATCAGGAACTATACTGCAACCACTTCACTTCACAACAACACTGCACTGCACCACACTAAACCTTCACTTTTCACTTTCACTTTTCACTTATTGCCAACCGCTGTCGCTGCTCTGCCTTTTCTATGCCATTTTGCCGCCTGCTGCCGCCTCTTTGGATCAGGAACTATACTGCAACCACTTCACTGCACATTTAATTACACCAAACATTACACTGCACCACTGCGCGACAATTTTCCCGATGGATATTTCATCCAATTACCGATTTTCGCGACCCGAAACGCGGAGCTGACTCAAAACCACGCGCTTTGTCCGTCCGAAAAATTGCAAGTGAGAGAGCGGCGCAGATTTGAATGCGTAGGCGGCTTAGTTTCTGGAACCTTCCATGCTCTCCTTCTCAATTCTTCTTCCTAATTGCTCTCTCATTTGACTTAGTCTTTTGTCTTCTTCTTCTTCGACTTGAAGAGAGGGTGAGTTTCTGCGTTGGACGAGTGACCACTTGTTAATGCAACGGTGAATTGCGAGAAGGGGAATGTGCTCAATAGCTTGGTTGGTTTGGGATAGGAGAGGGGAGTAGGGCAGGTGACATTGGCTTTTGTTGAGAGAGGGGAGAAGATGCCTAGCAGATCATAAGCTGAACATGGGAGGTTAAATTAGTTTCAAGAGGCATTCCATACTCTTCTTCAGAAATTGTTCTCTCATTTGAATTGGAATTCCGTATTCCCCCTGTCCTACAACAACAGATCGAACGTTTGTGCGTTAACTTGTTAATGCAACGGTGAATTGCGAGAAGGGGAAATGGCTGTGTACCTACATTGGTATGTAGCTGAAGAGAGGAGTAGAAGCACCTCAAACCGTAAGGAGAGCGTGGAATGCTCTCAAAGCAACATACGCATTAAAATCTGCGCCGCTCTCTCACTTGCAATTTTTCGGACGGACAAAGCGCGTGGTTTTGAGTCAGCTCCGCGTTTCGAGTCGCGAAAATCGGGAAATGGGTGAAAAATCCATCGGGAAAATTCTCGCGCAGTGGTGCAGTGTAATGTTTGGTGTAATTAAATGTGCAGTGAAGTGGTTGCAGTATAGTTCCTGATCCAAAGAGGCGGCAGCAGGCGGCAAAATGGCATAGAAAAGGCAGAGCAGCGACAGCGGTTGGCAATAAGTGAAAAGTGAAAGTGAAAAGTGAAGGTTCAGTGTGGTTGCAGTATACTTCCTGATCCTGATGGCATAAAATGTGTTCAAATAATATAAAAAAAAGGTGTGATTACTCATCTTCTCTCTTCAATTCTCAATGTAAAGCAGTGGAGAAAAGCAATACGAAAAGAGCCTCGTGTCCACGCTCTCTCAGTTGGTTGCAGTATATTGAGTCAGTGTTTCAGATGGCAAGAAAAAGTTCCTGATCCAAAATGGCATAGAAAAGGCAGAGCGGCAGCGGAAATATTGGCAATAAGTGAAAAGTGAAAGTGAAAAGTGTGTGAAGTGGTTGCAGTATAGTGGGGCATTGTTTTAAAAGAAAAAGGCCCACAAATGGCATGAAAAAGTTCCTGATCCAGAGAGGCGGCAGCAGTCAACGAAATGGCTAAAAAACGTGGCAGCAGAAAAATTGGCAATAAGTGAAAGTGAAATGTGTTCTTTGAATTTGTTGTATTCAGATCTCTGGAAATGTGTGTGCAAAAATGGATAAAAAACGCAGGAGATTCCTCTTCCCATTCCAATATTCAATGTCATGAAGAGGAGAGAAGCAATAAGAAGTGCAGCGTGTCGTCTCTCTCTTGAATTGTGAGGTGAGGTCTTGGTGATCTCCCACTCTCTTTAGTGCTTTTAGTCCCATTATGCCTCACCTTATTTTAACCCACCCAAAATGTGTGCTCTCAGTGAAATGTTACTGGAATTATTGGAATTCCTTTGGTGCGTTTTCGTATTCGTTTCGTATATCGTTTGTTCGAAAATCCTATCTAACGTATTCGCACTGTCCCGTTCCACTTCTCGTGCGGGTGGAAAGAGAACAGAAAATGCTCCAAGCAAAGTGTAACGCTTCTAATTATGAACCAACGGTAAGTCTGACCTTGACATTTCTTTACTGTTTTTATTATTGCTAGCATACTCCTCTTGTTTCTTATTCTTATAATATTCTTCTTCGCTCGGCTTATTCTTCTCTTTTCTATTCCATTCGTCTCTCCCCTTGAATGTTTGTGTGTGCGTGGCATTGGTTGTGTGGGAGTAGCATGGCGGGAGTATGGAGTGGAATCAAGTAACATATGATTTTTGCCCTGCATATGTATTTCCTATTGAATTCCAACTAAATCGGATCTTCTTAATCAGCTTTGTTTATCGATTGTTTCCCTAGCCTCACGGATTTCATCATGGTATAATTATATCCAAGTTGCTTGCGGTAATAAACACTAAGTTCATCAACAGAATGTCCCAACAGAGTTTCGCTTCAGGGAGCTTTTCTCGGATTCGAATTGAGTTTGGTCATAGTTTCCCCGAGACAGAGGGGGGCATTATTCACTTGACGCAAATACTTAGCATTCCCTGTCCACCACCTCTCAACACTTTACACTTTACTCGGGCGGAGGGGCAACTATTGTCAACTACTTTTGGGGCAGAAACGATTCCACTGCTGCTTCCTTCCTGGGCCCCGTCCGCGCTGAAAGGATTTCAATGTCAAACCGCAGCTGTTATTCTGTCATGGGACGCGACTTGGGACGGATGGTCCATTACATAAAACCCACGGGCGCATCAAGTTTTTCCGGGGAAACGCGACGGCGACCACAAAAGCGACGAAAATGAAAATTCATGAAAGTTCATCCACCGCCGCCGCCGCACTCCAATGGAGATGTTCGGCTCCACTTTTGTGGTCAATTAACGGCCATTCGCCGGGCCTTAAGTTTGTTTTTGTCGTAATGAATTTAAATGACCCACTGCTGCGGCGTGCCCCATCAAGTGGCACAAAGTGTTTTCCAACAGAGAGAACGAAGCGGAAGGACAGGCAGCCGACTAGTCAGCGAGATTCCCCAATCAGCATCCCAGACAGACGGCCCTGCCCCAAGAGGCAATGCCTTAAACCCCGGGCCCACAGCACACATTGTGACAGCACCTGTCGCCGAAAAATGTTCAACAATTTAGCTAATGACTTTCCCATGGAGGCAGATCCGAGCCGAACAGGGGCCAACCGAGTCTGTGTGTAGATACCAAATTAATTATATGCCATGCAGAGGAATTAATCAACCAAAACCAGCCACACTTTACCGCTGAACTGAACTCTATTTAACCCCAAAAACAAGACCAAACAACCTCCGACACCGCCCCCCCAAAACTCAGGTGTGAGCCAAAGTCCTGCCCAGCTTGCGGCCACTTCATTAATCACACTCTACACTTAGCAGAAGTTTGGGGCAGGCCTTGGACTTGGGCCCTAGCGCTGGCATGGGTTTTGAGGGTGGGGTCAAGTTGGGATGGTTTTGAGCTGCCTGAGGCCTCCCAATTATTTAACAATAAATAAAAGCTATCTTCCTGTTGAGCTAGATTAGCTATCACCATTAGAGACAGTGACAGTCGGTGAAATTAACTCCACATGAGCAGAGCTGCGCGCCATCTAGAGGAGCATTTCGGTAACAGTCAATTCAGCCAGCAGCAAACCTGAAACTTGGTTTTTATGGAAAGGTGTCATTCCAGAAAGTTTTCAGTGGCAAGTGGTACCACTGCCGCCTACTAGATGGCGTTTGGGAGCCTAAAAGAATGCAACCAGCAAAAACTCATCAGTGAAACGCAAAATTGAGCATTGCTTTGCTAAATTGTTCTCTCGCTTTGAGTTTGACTGTCAAAACAATTAACTAGAGACTCAATTAGGTTACAGGATCACTAGAGTCGTCTCTTGGCTTCTTTTAGGTGTACATTAATGGCTGCCTTTGTGGCACATTTAAAACTTTGCCGCTTCCCACAAAAAAGATCACTTTGAAGTCGCGCGTTAGTCAGGCAACAGGTGTATCGGACGGAACGAACCCGCGCTGCGATAAGATCGGTAATTTGAGGTGTTACTCCCCCATAACAATAGGGAATCACCAGCCAAAATACACGTTTCGTTTTTATGCATATTTGCTATACAAGTGAATTAAAAATGTGGGCCAATATTAGCTGAAATAAAAGAAAAAGTTGTACACCTTCCCGCAGCAAAAGTGTTGAGCGGACTGGAGTCGGTGCTTGTGTGTGTGTGTGTGTGATAAGATTAGACATGCGGGTAACACTGTGACGCTTTGTGATAACAGTCAGAGGGGCTGTTAGTAGGGGGACGCACACAAAAAGTACACTAAACCAAACTGTTAGTCATTTAATCCGGTAGCAGTGTAACTATGCACATGCAACAGGTAGATAATGCCACAGTCCGCCTCTCTGTCGGTGTATGTGAACCCAAAAGTTATCTGGAAGCATGTAAACTTAGACCAGATAAGGCAAAGATATGAATAGAAATCACATCAGTGCTCAAACACGATCGTATAGTAAGAGTGACTAGAATGAAAGCTCTAATAGCCGTGCAACAAATGACAATAATTACCAACCATTGAGCGCAAATAAATTATTTTTTATACAACAAAAATAGGAGATATGCTCATATGAGCAGCTTCCGGCTTTGGCAGCATTTAAAAAAAATACTTGGAACTGTTGTCCAGTCCGGGAAATTATATATAAATTGAGCCTACGGCCTGCTTTTGGTATTTGTTGTTCCTATTGCTGATTGTAGTATGATACGATGTGTGTGTGTGCCTGCACTTGGTCGATCAATCAGCCCCCAATGAGTGCCTGCCTGCCGACACCGAAACCAATGCGATGCGATGCGATCGTCAGCGTGAAGTAAAAGCATAAAAAAAACAAATATTTAACTTGGGGTAATCATCCACAAACAACACACACAAAAAGCTGAACAATAGCCATAGAGTCATTCCAATAATATATAGCCAGAAATCGAAAATATATTGGCAACAAGTACAGGTACACCTGGATAAAGAGTAAGCGCAAAGCGAAAGGGAAAGGGGAATCAGTGAGTGGCCATGAAACATTCCCTTAATCGTTCAAATCCACAACTGGCTCTAAAATTGCTAGAATAACTCAAAATATTCGGTAGTCATTGCGCAGCGGGGGGATCTCTGTAACCGTTACACAACTGCAAAGAGAACGCCATGGGCTTAGGCCTGTAATTAGCTGCTCCATGTATCTGGTCTGGTCTGGTCTGGTCTGGTCTGGTCATTGTCACTTGCTCTCAGCCTGGGTCTGGGTCATTGGCCATTAGGTTTTGTTCGTAGGGAACTTTGAGTGTGCCGACTAAGGAATACCCTTTTGGAAGTAATAAATGGAAGTGGATAAACATTTCTGACTCCGTCTTTACCTATTCCTAACTACTTTTCGAGTAATGGGCATCGATAAAGCGCCATTGCTGACCGCCAGCTGACGTCACAGCGAATGCAATAAATTCATTTCGTTTCGTTTCAGTTTTGATTTTGATTTTAATTTAGTTTTTTCTCTTGTTGGTCATTAACTTTGCAGACATGCAACTGTTGCCGCTGGACGTACAAGCACGAGTTCGTATTACTGCTTGATATATCCGGTGTGGCACCAGTGCTGCTGCTGTTGCTGCTGCCACAGTGGTCAACATGTGTGTGCTGCGTGAGGAAATATTAATAACTAAATGCCATGCATTTCTAATAAATAGCCAAAAGCCGCACAACACACCAGCCACTCCATGGCTAGCCGATGTGTGAATACTCTATGTTGAAAGCCATATTTGGGGCTGAAATTTCTTTTATTGCTCAATTTATAACGCCTAAGCTTGAGGATTGATAATGCTGCGGAGAATCGCGCCAATTGGCGTGGCAAATGCTTGAGTCAGTGGACTACCTGTTGCTCCAGGGACTAGGCAGAGGCGTCTGCAGAAAGGGCAGAGGCATAGGGCAGTTGTAGGTGCCCCTTTTCTGCCGCCTCTGACTGGCTAATGTTTCTTGTGTAGTTACTGTGTGACACCCCGCAACGTGAGAGCAAAACAACAACTAACGGAGCGCACCTTTTGTGTTTTGTGGAGCAAGAGAGGAAGTGACTTGGTGAGCGAGAGAGAGGGTGGGTCACAGAAAGAGCGAACGAACGAGCAGCCAAAGCTCTGCCGGCGACACCTATGGCTGCTCACTCGCGTTCGGTAGCCGGCAACAGCAACAACAGCAGCACAGAAACCCACAGAGAGAATAGCTTGTACTTCGTAATTAGTCGTCAGATAAATATGCATAAAAACGTAACAAAGTAAAAACTATGCAAGAGGCAGACACAGCGATTACTGTAAAGATACAGAAACATATCCATGGGTAATGCAACTGTGCAGCCCGCTACGTGTGTCAGCTATCGGATCAAAGTGGATCGAACATGTTTCTTGGTGCTTAATGATGTGTTGTACATCTTCTTCTGGTGACATTTCAGTTGGCATTTTGTGTGCTGTGAATGCTCTTAGCGATTGATCTGCAGCTAAAACTGATTCCTGCCTGAATTATCTATTTGATTCCACAATTTCTGATGGCCTCCAATAGCAGCAGCAGTCCCACAGATCTGGACAGTCAGGTCAATGTGGAGGATTTGCCCATAACCTTCAAGGTATGTATTTATGGCTCTGATGTTCGCTTGGGATTTACGTTTTTGCGGCCAAAGTGAATATTTAAATGCTGTGAAATGAATGGCGCAAGCACCCGCCGCACCAAAACCTACACTCGGCGAAAAAAAACACTCACTCGGAGAACAAAGTACCCAAACAAAGAGACAAAAGAAAGAGTTTTTGTGTGTTTTTTCCAGGTGTAACCAAAATATAACCAGACACGCATGCGTCACGGTCTGCTGCGCCTTGGTTCGGGGGCGGCGACGCATCATCTAACATTTTGGCTTGGCTGTAGCTCTGACATCCGGCCTGTGGCCTGCCGGGCTTCGGATGCAAATGAAGCGACATTTTGCCCGCAGGCAGTCCAAAGCCCGACGACCGACGACTGACTAACGGCAAACGCAGGCGCAGCGGAAGCAAATGCCACCCGATGAATAATCTCCACCACTCTCCCCCCTTCCTCTCTTATGCGCAGGTCAAATACATTGGCTCGGAGGTGGCACGCGGCCTGTGGGGCATTAAGTACACACGCCGGCCGGTCGATCATATGGTGGGTGTGGCCAAGAACCTGCCGCCCAACAAAGTGCTGCCCAATTGCGACCTGACGGTGTCCGTGACGGGCGTTCAGCTGGAGATCATTTCGCCCAAGGCGAGCATCAACAACTGGAGCCATCCGATCGACACGATCTCGTATGGGGTGCAGGATCTGGTCTACACACGAGTCTTTGCCATGATCGTGGTCAAGGATGACTCCAGCCCGCATCCGTACGATGTGCACGCCTTCGTCTGCGACAGCCGGGCCATGGCCCGCCGGCTGACCTTTGCCTTGGCAGCAGCCTTCCAGGACTACTCGCGACGTGTCAAGGAGGCGGCAGGAGATGATCAGATCGATACCATAACGCCCGCACGCCAAAAGTTTGCCATCGATCTGCGCACGCCCGAGGAGATACAGGCTGGGGAAATGGAACAGGAAACGGAGGCGTAGTCGGAGGAGGAGGAGAGTCTGTGGGGCTCCATTGTGATGTCATAGTTACTTATTGTCCAGTGTTCACTGTAATTGTAAATTGTACGACTGCACGTACGAGTAGTTCTCCTCGCTCACATGGTACGAGTAGTTTCCTCATACAGCTAATTACCCAAAGCTTACATAAGTGTTAAATCCAAAACTGTAAACGATTTTCTACAATAAATAATAGTAAATATTTGTAAAGTATTTTGAATATTACGATGCAGAATTACTTGCTAAATTTTAAATAATTATAATATAAACGGAATCAAGATTGACTTGCTTTATCTTCCTGATTAAGAAAATGTAAATATACTTTTGGGGCTACATTTGAGACCCTCTTTCTATCTATCCTTCTCTGCGTTCTTCTCTCTTGAAGGGTCACGGAAATGTTTAGCGGAAGTTTGATTTGAATTTGTACATAAATGCGCACACATTCAATTCTTATTTATTTACTTCATTTCATATATTTTCCTGCATATATTTAATTTCCTGACTATTCACAGCAGCCATTGGAATAATTATTTAATAATTTTCATTGCTTCAAAATGAAGAAAAACATTTGTTAATTAAATCATTGAACCCTCGAATAAGATCTTTAAAAAAGATAGGAAAATGTAGAGAACTAAATATCGTTTAGAATTGATGTAAATCTGTCTTAAATTCGATTTCCCCCGAAAGTGCCTCTGCTCCTCTTTCAGCTCTTTCTTTAGGTTGCTTTTTAGCAAGCTTTTTAGTTGAATGCGATTTGACAAGACACACGAACACTCGAAACATTGCTATCTATTTCTATACCCATAATAATCATAATCTTTAAATATTTTATAATTTTTATTTGTCGCTTTTTTGTTTGTTTTTTTTGTAATTTGTTTTTCATTGAACTCGTTGGAACAACAACAATTCTAAGCTTAAATTTCAACTCTCGTGCCGCGAAATGACTATAAAACTAGGAAATCAAGGAATATTAAATTGACTTAAGACTTGCCTTAAAGCGCAAATGAGAGGGGGGGGGGGGGGGGGCGGGGGGAACTAGGACGTGAACGGGCGTGGCTGCTCCTCCAGTTCGTTCGCTGTTTTGTGGGCGGGGGGTTTTTGTTTGTGTTTATAATTTTTTGGCTAGAAGAAATGCCTAACTGGCATCGGCGCGGAACAGGAAACGACGCTTGCGAGCATCCATTTTGCCATGGGACAGGGACGGGAACAGGGACAGGGACTGGGACTTGGGCTCTCGCACCTCCAGCTGGGGCAGGGATTCCTTTTCCGTTTCTGTGTCCAACTTGCTGACAGTCACGGGCAGCGTTTGCACCTTGGACATGCTGGGCTCGGCATTGGAAATGCGCTTGTAAATGGGCAGAATTAGCTCCTGTTCTGGTTGAGATTCCTGTTCAGGTTCAGATTCAGGTTCAGACTCTGCCTCACGCTGAGCTTCGGGCTTTGTGCTCTGAATCAGTGTCATTGGTGCAGCAGCGCCGGGAGTCATGACCAGCTCCATGGGAGCCATCTGTTCATTTTTAGGCGTCTGATCCAAGCGCTCTTTCACGAGCTCCACAATATCATCGATGCTGATTGAGGGCATATAGGGGGCAGTGGCTATGCTCTCCTGGGCAGCCACATCATCGTTTTGGATGGGCGACGCTTCGGGTTGGACTTCAGGTTCTGTTTCCTGCTGAATTGCAGAAGTTTCCTCGACTGCAGGTGCGACTTCCTTGACTTCCTCTGGTGCGACTTCCTCCTTGACTTCCTCTGGCGCCTCTGGCTTGGCATTGATCTCCATTTGTGGCTGCATCTGCTGCTCCAATGGGATAACCTGCACGGGTATCTGATAGTCCATGGGCAGATGGTTGAACTGCATTATGTTTATAATGGGAGAGTCCGTCATTAGTTTTTCGGGTGACTTTTGCAGCTCTGATTCCTCCAGCATTTGCTCCTCAATCGAGGCATTCTTATCAACGATTTCGGGCTCTGGCAGCTTGGCCTCCTCTACGGAAACATCTGGGGATGGCTCCAACTTCTCGTTTAGGGTCTCTGCCATATCCATGGCTGCTGTGGCCAGCTCAGTCTCGGGTTTCTCTTCATTTTTCTTCAGTGTATTGAGGAAATCTGTAATCAGCTGCTCCGCCTCGGCGGCCATAGCTGGATCGACGGGCTTGAAGCCCCCGAGTGACTCCTGTGTGTCTTTATTTTCCTGCAGAATCTCCTCCACCAGGGGACTGTGCTCTTGCATCTCTGGTGTGGCTGCGATGCTCTCTGGTGCATCCGATGGCTTGGCAGCTTCCAGAGCTTCAATGCTGCCGAGAATCTCCTCGTCGGACTCGATAATGGCGGGCTCGTTGCGGTTTCCCTCTACGATTTCCTCAACTTTGGCTGGCACTTCCTTTTCTTCTTCGGCTGTTGGCATTTCTTTTTCCGCTTCGACGGCTGGGACTTCCTTTTCCGCTTCGACATGTGGCTCTTCCTTGATTTCCTCCTCTGCAGTCTGCGGCTTCTCCTCCTCGGCAGCCTGTGGTTTGTCCTCCTCGGCAGCCTGTGTCTTCTCCTCTTCCGCTTCCTGTGGCTTTGCTGCCTCCAAACTTTCGACAATAACAGCGGGAATCTCTTCAATAGCCTCAATGGGCTTCATCTCCTCGAGTCTTGTGTCAATCTCAATCCTTGTGGGTGCTTCTGCCTCTGTTGTGGCATCTTCTGGCTGTGCTGTGGCCACAGCCGGCTCTGAGGCCTGCACCTCCGGCTCTGAGGCCTGCTTTTCTGGCTCCTTGACTTCTTCCACCACGTTGATTGGTGCCGCATCCTCGAACATCGTTTGCAGCTGCACTGTTGGCTGTGGCTCGCTAAGCTCTACAACGGCCTCCGTGACTGCAGCTTGCACCTCCTCCACGAAGGGTTTTGGGGTGGTTGTGGGTTTGTTGAAGATCGCTGGACGCTTGCGAATGCCGGCAAAGAGTTCGTTGCGGCTGGGCGCAGGCGCAGAGGCAGGTGCAGGTGCAGGTGCAGCCACAGCAGGCTGGTGCTTGTGTGGCCTCATGGTGAAACGCTGTGGCTTGATGATGGGCTTTGACTCGGCCGCGGGCTCGTCTACAGCGTCAGTTTCGACTGCCACGGGTGCTGCCTCCGTGACGGGCGCCTTTCGGTGTGGCTGTGGCTTGCGGCGATTGGGTTTGGGCTTGGGCTTGGACTGCACCTTGACGGGCTTGGCGGGCTGGGCAACTGGCACAGGCTCGGGCTCGGGCGCAGCCTGCACAGGTTTATCCTTCTCCTCCTGCTGCTGCTCCTCCTCCTCCTCTGGCTCAGCGATTGTAGCTGCCTGCTGCTGCTGCTGCTGCTCCGGCTGCTTCTCCTCCTCCTGCACAGCTGCGCCACCAAAGTTTCCATTCAATTCGTAGTACCGCGCGCTGTCCTCGCACTCAATGGTCATGTCCTCGCGACGCATGCACGTGAAGGACTCCTGCAAATAAATGTTATAAATCTCAAAAACAAAGAGAGAGGGAGTGTCCTACTTGACTGAAAATGGTATCCTCGGGACAAATGAAGCTCCAGCGGAAGGTGTTCTCCCTGCCATCGGCATAGGTCACCGGCAGACACACGTGAAAGATCTGGCATTCATTCTCCACATCCGCATAGTAGCCATAAGTCTTGTTCGCACACGAAAAGTTGTCGGTGATGTCTGCCCTTATGGATGTGGCATTGCTGGGCAGGGTCAAGGTGCCCAAAGGTGCGGCTGGGGCTGCTGCCGGCGCGGCCTCCGGTTCCGACTCCATTTCCTGCACTTCCTGGACTTCAGCTGTCGGCGGTTCGGGCTTATCCTCGCGTGCCATTATCGTCGCTGTGTTTTTTCTCTTCTGTAGAAGTAAAAGAGAGGAAGAGAGAGACATTCAGCTAACGGTTTACGTGCTTAGCTTCAGCAAGCAGCAATCCATCCCAATGAGCGATCCAGCACGTGACGCGGGGGGCTCTCAGCTCGAAATTTCACTTGTGTTCTAGTTTTTGGTCTACGCAGCGCTCCGTAAGTGAAAATTGTAGCCCTAAACCCCAAACAACTGTGCACTGGCGCACCTGCCCTCCCCATTTATGGCGCGCACTGTAGTTACTTTCGAATGGAATCGCTCAAATATTATCACATCATATTTTAAGCCATAATCGTATTGATTTGTGTTTTGTATTTATATTAATTATTTTGGGCGCTGCATTTTAATGAGTTTCAAAACTTTCCCTGTCTTTGTAATGTTTTTCTTTGCCATTTTACTAGAAACTTCCAGCGATTACTCATCGCCCGAAACTTCTCTGTGGCATTCCACACGCCGTGTAGAATTTTTGCCGGCTTAAGGCAAGTGCAGCTGCAGGCTATAGATACGTGTCCCGAGCTTAGGCCAAGTCTTTGGCTAAACGCGCGGCATACCAAATAAGCGAAAGACACAGGCAAGAGGCAAACGGCAACGCCAAACCGTTCGAACCCTCAATGGGAGATGCGTATGCAAAACAGCAGAACCAGCACCAGACGCACTGTGGCGGAGTCGAGGAGTCAGTCGTCCCGTGTCCCATTAAAGTTTTTTATTTGTAGTTTTGGCATTTCATTAACTGTTTCGCCTACCCATATCCGATCACAACGAACGAAACGGAAGTGAGTGTGTGGTCAAGCTGTCTGGCGGTCTGCAGCTCTGGGCAGTGTGCAAGTCTGGCTCAGGGTGGGAGAGGGAACACTCACCTGGTAGGCGGTCAGCGGTCCTGCGCTGCAAGCGGCCGTTAGGCAGAGTAACACACACAACGTCTTCCACATGTTATTAGACATGATTCAGGTTCAGTTTTTGCTTCACACTCTCTCTCTTTATCACACTGATTATTGCACTTTTTATTCTCTAGATTTGATGGGTTTATTTGTAGGGGTTTGTGTGTGTTTCGGGTTCGTGTTTAATCCAAAAATTGATATCCAAGCGTTAGGTATTTTTCTTTTCTGGCCAAAAGCTTGCACTCGCACTGCCTGCTTGCTGTTGTCTTTTAGCTGGAGCTGAAGCTGGAGCTCTTTGCACACCTGTGAGGCACCGTTGGGTGGAAAATACTAACTGCGACCGTCCAGGGCATGCGACACCCAATTTATATATTCTTCACTTTGATTTATTAAGAATGCAAAAAGGCACAGCAGAGAAAAGCACCAAACAGGCACGCACACAGCTAAAGACAAGAGGTTTCAGGTACAGGTGCGTGTGCGTGTGCGTGTTCGTGTGTCTGTCGCCCACAAATACATACAAATGACAATGGCAAATGCTTATTGTCGTCGTCGCTGTTGCCTCTTCTGCGCAGACGTGACTGTGCCAGCGGCTTGGGCTGTTCGTGGGTGTGTGTGTCGCTCTGTGTGCGTGTGGAACGTATTCGCTGTGGAACCTAAGACATGCGAGGAGAATGAAGGTGGAAAGAGGACTGATCATGACCATGGCCATGACAGCGCGAAAGGTTTGAGCAGCTGAAGCTAGGGAAGAACGAAGCAGGGATACGTAGCTCCCTTTTTGATATTTCCTTTGGTGTTTGCCCTGCCCTAAATCTAGCCGAAACTCTACTAAGATGAAAGAGAATGCAAATTGTATTTGAACATTTCCATCTTTCTGCTAACTTTCTAAATAAAAATCGTCTCAAGATTCTCTTCTTAAGAAGCTCCTGTGAATGTCTTCCCTTAAGATCCTACCCCCTTAAGAAAAAACATCTCAAAGCTGCAGCTTTAAGTACAATGTCTGCCTCATTATTATGCCAGCAGCTCTCACATTCACTTACAAGATGAACAACATCAGATAGACCAAAAAAATGGTATCTGTACGCTTGTGCCTGACTTTGATGAGTGCCGCCGCCGCCGCCGTTGCCGTTTTGTCTTCTGACTAACTAGCGCCAGTGCATTTAATACATAATTAATCAAGCAATACGCTAATAATTATTATTTTTAAAACTTGATAGCTATTTCCGATGGCAATGGCCTCTGCAGCTTTCGCTTTTGTACGGGGCTGTACGTGATTTTGATAGAACAAGCAAAAGGTAAAGGTAAACTTCGAGTAGGGCTCCAATGACAGCACTAAACATGAAATTAGAAATTCATAATTGTCGCGTAACACACACACACACACACACACACACACATCTACGTGTGGCTCCGACTGTGCCTCTGGGCTGTGGTTTTGGTGAGGGCGAAATGGTAGCAAAACCCATTCTAAATTGCTAATGCGCCTTAATAGGCTTCGCTTGTTTTGGAAGCACACACTGGCTTTGATTTTTATTTTGTTGTATATTTTGTTAGGGTTTTGGTTGTGTGAAAGTCACTGCATGATGATATTTCGTTTGTTGCATAATCCTGCTCCGCCATCCGCGAGTTGGGATGGCTCTGGCCCTCGCCTCGCGCCCCAGGGCCAAGCCAATGAACCCTAACGAATTTTTGTGACCATCTCTGGGATGGGTTCTGTATGCCACTTGGTACACATAAAACTGCAATCTCACGTCGTCGTCTGGGGGCAATCTTTCGAGTTTAATCTGCTCTCGAACAGAGCCAAGTTGTCACCCATTTTGGCCATGGCTTGAGGCACAACCAAATGAAGTTCTCTAATGCCGAATAGAAGACAAATAATCCGGGAGTTTTTAGGGAATATTCTCGATGTTCAAGTCATAGTTTTCATGGGAATTTATGGGTTATAGCAGCAACTCCATTGATATATTGAATTGGGGTCTCTGGTTGTCTCTCTCTTTAGTCAAGCCCTTAAGACATAAACATTAAGAAATGCCTTCAGGTACAGCGAACATACATTTTTAATGTATTTTTGCGCACTTGGCAACAAAGTATTTGCTAAATGCATTTGCTGCATGAAATGTTTGCCGGGGACAGAGGACAGGCCGCCCAGACCCAGACTCGAATCGTGCAAAGATAATCGCGTTGACAACAGGGCGACGCTGAAATTCTACAGCAGAATCATGACTGGAATTATGAGCAAATTATATTATTAATAGACAGGCAGACGGACGGGGGCACAGGAGTCAGCCCGGGCCTGAGTATTGTTTAAAAATCGATGAAAAAGAAATGCAAGTCGGACAGGCGAAAATGTTTCTTGACTTTGACTCTTTCTTTCTTTGGTTCGTTTTTTTTTTTTTGTGGTGCAGGCGAAAAGTACAAAATACAGAAACAAAACACAGGTAAACTTTCTAAAATGCAAATTGCAGTGCAATGGAAAATCATGAACACTTTTCAATTTCAAAATCACAAAAATTGTTAAACTAAATGCCACTGGCAGACACGTGGGCGTTGGAATTGGCCCCACCCACTCGCGGGCCACTCTCCTACTTTTTGTTTCTTCTGCAGCTGCTACGGATCAGAGTCCGATTCCGAGTCTGTTGCACACGCGTATACGTGATGCATGCGCAGCGCACAGGCAGCACTTTCTAGTGGCAGTTAAATTAATTAAGTTTTCGTTAAGCACAATTGTGCGTATGTGTGCCCATCAAATGCCCAAAATGACAGTTCAATTGACAGCGGCACGTCGTCGCCTGTCACTTAGTGGAGCAACAGCAAAGCGGAGCACCGAACGCGCTTAGAAATTTTCGCAAAAATCACTCCAAAATGACCCAAACACACGGCCCGCCCACTCGTGCCACGCCGCGTGACGCTGACACTTCCTTTTGCCAAAAATTAATGCTGTTTTTTTGCAAACCCTGCACGTTGTTAACCGTTATTCAGCCCACCCCAAGGGGGCAGCCCAACACACAATTTTCGCAACAAGAATTACAATTGATTATTGAGGGTTCGGTTCTGCTTCTCTTTTTTTTTGCCAACATATCGAGAACAGATTGTATCTGCATGATGTATGGCTGGGGGCCACACCTCCCTACGCCCACATTAAACATTTAACCAAAGTCCGAGTTGAAGTTTAGAAAGTGCTGAAAACTAAACTATACAAAGTATTCTCTCTCTCTCTCCGTGTCTCTGTGATGATCAATTATGTGGCACACGTTTGTAGACACCTACAGTGTCGCCCCTCCGCCTTTGGCAGTTCCAGTTCGAATCGTTGGTTAGGTCTCCCACGCATCGGGCCAAGTCTGATTGAATTTTTATGGGCAATTTCATTGATTTTAATTTTGCTAATGATAAGAATTTCTTTGCACGAATCTTCATCATCATAGCCAAAGCGGGGTTCAGCTCTTGATAACGTGCATGTTGCGGCATGTCAATTCGCTCTGCTCCATGTTGCATGTTAATTGGTGGAGATTTTCTTTCAATTAAGTAGCTTGCGCCTCCCACCATTAAAACAAGGTCAATATCAAACGTGTCAGAATGCGAGTGAAGGTGAAAAGTGGACAGCATTTAATGGGAAAAATCCCGGCTTGGCTTTCTTTTTGTTTGCCCAAAATCTTAGTTGACAATTTCTTTGAATCTTCTGTTAATTTTCTGTACGCTGCAAAGTATTTACAATTTATTAGCCATAAATTTGCGGGCCACTTGTCAGACGTTTGTCAAACACAAATTTAATTGCTTATTATAAACGTCAAACCTTTTTGCCAAAATAACGCTTGGCATGCCACACGCGTTCTGCGCTTGCACAGCGACACCCATCCAAAAAATAAAGGAAAGAACAGAGAGACGCGTCTATTTTGGGCGCACGTCGCCCCCTATTTGGTATAACAGAGCAGGTGCCAGGCGCGGGGGAGAGGTCCACAGAATTGGGCCACAGAATTAGAATCGAATGCACGAAGGCGTCTGGTGGAACAGGTGAAATTTCTGTTGGAATTTCAGCGCAAGCATTGACCGCATTCTGATTGTAGCGAACCCAACAAATAAGGCAGGAAATGATTGATTGGATTGCTCGATGGGATTTCCTTTCAGATTAAATTACTGCAATTATCCAATGTTGTTTTTGTCTTTAATATGCATCATATAACATATAAATATAATAAATAATTTTTGCATAAATAACTTAGGTCTAAGCGTTTCTTCCTTCAATCGAATTTCAGCTAGCGAAAACGCTAAAATAAATTTAAAATTTAGTTTACATTTAAGGGCATTGCACTAAGGGGTTTCCGTCTAGGGTTAAAAACTAAAATTGGTTTACTGGCATTTTTGTTGCTTGTGCTAAGTACAATTAATTTTGAGCTAGGACCTTAACTGGGGGGGATTATTTAATAATCAGCATCATAATACGATATAAAATCAAATAAATACACGCAATAAATTAATTAGCAGGCAGCTGTGGGCGGCTGCTGCTGGGCTGGGCTCCATTGGAGTGCAGGCAGCTGGGGCTCTCATTGGTGGGGTGCTGGTTGTGGGCATCGGATCTACTGCCATTGATGCTGGTTGCGATAGGCCAGATAATGGGAGTCCTGTGGCTGCTGCTGCTGCGGCTGTGGCTGATGTTGATGCTGCCCACGGATCTGATAGCTATCCGTGGATGAGTCAACATCCTCAACGGATGGATCAGTTTGCAGGGAGCGCTTCCAGTAGCTGCCCGGCTCGCTCCAGTCGTCGCCATGGTCCTCATAGTGGTGCTGATGGTGGGCATGTTCAACGTATACAACCTAGTTAGAAAATATGCAAAACACGTGTGGCGTGAAGTGAGAAACACCAGAGGAAGTACCAAAGAAGCCCAAGAGTATGTGTGTGTGTGTGTGGGAGTTTGTCTGTATGTGTATCTGTAGCTGGTTGTGTTGTTGTGTCTCTTTGTATGTCAGTGTCGGAGGTTCATTATATGTTTGTGTTTGTGTTTGTGTGTGTGTTATATAGGGCAGGGATTTCGCAGGAATATTCCAAGTCAAATGGAAACTTGGAATGGGTCACGCCCATACTTACACGGGAACGTTTTTCTTTTGTTTATTTTCTTTTTGAGGAAACTCTTTAGAGAAATTATTTTTGTTTGATTTTTGTTGGGTCTTAAACTGTTAGTAAACTCTTTTTGTATATTTCGTTGCTTTTTTTGGGGGGAGGTAGTAGGAGGCTGTCCAACAATTTTTACCACCATATCTGAAACCAAAGAGGTCTGAATTTGTTAGCAAATAATACTGGAATATGGGCACAGTTTGGTTTGTGTGCTTTCGATTTGGAGCTCGATTGTTGTTGGTGGTGATTGTTGTAGAAATTCTGGAGCTGGAAACCAAAGCTGAGTGGTGGGTGGGTGATCCACAAAAAAGTAGTTAGAGCATAGTTAGAGAACGCATTTTACAAATCCTTTATATACATCTTTTGTGTTTGTGTGTGGTTGGGTAGACAGATAGACAGACAGAGCGCAGGGGCGTAGAAAAAAAACAGGGAATAAGTGAGTTAAGAGGGACCTCCTTTTGCCACAAAATAAACGCAGACTTAAGTACTGAAAGAGTGCAGAATATATCCATTTAGAACAAGGAATAAAGTATATTTAGGGTCTCATAACCGTCGTGTGTCCGTTTGCAAGCGGGGTGGATTAAATTTAGTCGCCCACACAGCTGCTCCCCTTAGAGCCTTGCCCCACACACTCACCTTGGACGGCGGACTGCCGCGTTTCACGTCGATCCAGAAGCGGGCAATGTTGATCAGTAGGCCAATCAGTGCGATGGCAAAGAACTTGACCTGCAGATGGGCGCCCAGGATCTTCAGCAGCAATTCAATTTTGGCCTTAAGGAAGGTGCCGACCAGCATAACTTTAGCCAGGGCCTTCTTCTTCTTCTTCTTCTTGCCACGGGTCACTAAAGGAAATCGAAAGTGAATGGCAACTTGTTAGCTATTATTTGTTGCACTGGGCAGTAGAATGGGCAACCAACTTACTTGGCTACAAAACGGAACGGAAAAAACAACAATAAATATCGATATATTTGTCGCTTGGGAGGGTGGTGTTTGTTAGTATGAACTGCAGTGCGCGTTAGGTGCGTTAACATTAACAATAAACGGTAACGGCAAGCAAAAGCAGGCAATAAATTGAAAATAAACACAAAAACAGAATCAAAAATCTTAAATGTAAAACTGACGGTAGCTGAAAGCTGTGGCACGAGCACTGCTTTACCAAGACACTGCCTTGCCAACTCAACTGCTTTGCATGCTGACCAGCTTAACTGCTTGGCGCTGCATAAAGCAGTTCGCTTGCAGCAGTCAGCTCGCAACAGTGAACACAAGTTTAAATTTAAATTTGAATTTTTGCTCCTCCACCTTAACTTTTCTTTTGATCCACCACCACAGGATATAACATAACTAAGATATAGAAAGGCACTTAAGTTGTGCTAGGAAATTGGTGCGCAAAAGTCATTTAAAACCACACGCAGCAAACAACACACACCTCCGTTACTTCTACCATATCTAATTGGATTCCTGTGCTTGCGCTTGCCGCCGCCGCCGAGCAGCTCGTCATTGGCTTCAGTCAGGTCATCCAGGAGTCCCAGTCCCAGGCTCAGATCGCTCTGCTCGTGTTCCACCGCCGCTCCACCGCTCGAGTGCTGTCCCTTCCGCTTGCGTCGTCCCTTGACGCGCTTCTTGTGCTTCCGCTTGTTGGGCCTGGAGACGGCACCGCCACTGGCATCATCGTGTTCCACACTGCCACCGCCGCCGCCATGTCCGTGGCCGTGGCCGTGACTAACGCTATGCGACCCATGACCGTGGCCAGAGTCCTCTTCGTGGTGTTCGGGCGCCTGCTGCACCACCACCAATGTGGCTGGCTGTGTATGTCCCTGGTCCTGTCCGTGTCCATGTTGACCCTTTTGGCCCTTCTTTCTGCGCTTCTTGTTCTTCTTTTTGTCCTTTTTGCGCTTGCCACCGCCGCCGGGTCTCTTCACAGCTCCAGCGGCCGTCTCCTCGCCATCCACCAGCTCTATGAACTCTGCACCCGTGGAGGCGCTGTCCTCGCTGAAGACCGTATTCTTGACATCGTCGCCCTGCAGCTCTGCTTGCGGCTGTGCACTGAAAACACTCGCAACGGGTGTATTTTCACTTTCTGGCTCCGCTTCGTCGTCTTCGGCCTCCTCTTCTCCACCTTCGGGCTCACGCTCTGCAGTGTTGTTGTCTGAGGCATTATCATCATCATCATTATCATCATCATCGGCATCTTCTTCGTCGTCAGCGTCGCCGTCGTCGTCTTTTTCAGTGTCTTCGGCATCTTCAGCGTCTTCTTCCTCCTGGTCTGCTTCCTCAGCGGTGTCGCTGCTGTCTGCTGTCGTCTCTGCATCCGCCTCATCGTCTTCATCATCGTCTTCCCCACTCTGATCGTTTTCACTCTCATCTGGCGTTGCTTTCGATGTCTGCAAATACTCGTATTCGCGGCCAAGGAAGCTGTTTGGGCAGAGAGGGAGTGGAACAAAGACAGGAAGAAATGAAAATCTGGCTGCTTGTTCAATTCAACTTGTTTTTCACTGGGGCTGGGGCCGGTGCTTGGGCCACTTACCCATCCATGGATTCGGCTAGATATTTCTTCATATAATTCGTGCCGATTTCAATTTTCTTTAGTATCGTCGATGGCTTCTCTTTCAGGGGCAGCTCCGAGAAGCTGTAGCCGCGTCTCTCGATCGTTGCATTCATCTGGCGATCGGCCTCGACTGTTGGCCAAAAAAAAGAGGGGAAATGCTTTTATTTTTAATTGCTTTTTCGTGTAAATGTTTGACTGGGAATCGCGTGGAAAACTGCCCCTTGAGGATGTCGAATTATCGGACTGAATGATCGCTAAATGTTCGCCTGCGAGTGTGTCCTGCGGGGATCACCCACATGTGGCTTTCCCCCTAATCTCAGTTGGCTGGAGCACCCACATATGTGTGGGAAAAAGTCTTTTGTTGTGGGAAATTTAAGTTGAATTTTAACTCAATTGACGCTCAAACTGTTGGCCTTCCAAATGTTAACTTTGGGGTAAATATTTGTCTGGGAAAAGATCTCTAAACTTACCCTTTAACTTCTGCCATTGGGCATGCAATTCGCCATCCCAAGAATCCAATATCCTGGCCGACTGCTGGCGTGCACAGGTCCATGGCTCGGAGCGTAGGGGGCACAAGGCCAAGTCCAAGTACGGCGAAACCTCTGCAAAAAAAGTTGACAAAAACAGTAAAGATCAGTGGGATGGGGGATATGGGACAAAAACTGCTCTGAGGTGGAGTAAATATTGTCACAATTGACACTTGACTGACTTTCGTATGTGGCCAAAGCCAGAGCCGACGCAGCGTTGGGATTTGTGGTCCAATTTGGCTTACTGGCCGGCTAACATGGTTTCAGGTATCTGCACAGACCTGTGGCTTTTCCAACTGCAAATATTTGAGTGAAAGTATGGGGTGCAAGCAGGCTCAGCCACCAGGCCGGTGCCACAAACATCTCAACACCTTCTGTGGTGGCCTCCTGCTGTTGCTAACAAGTCAGTGGCACGCATCCCCCCGGACCTACCTGCGCTTGTTTGTGGCACGGGCCATGTTTCATTTAACGATTAACGACGTGCCGTGCCGTGATCTCTGCTTAGAGATCAATCAGACAATCAGACATGGAGTGAAAATGTCATGTCCCGGCGATTGTCAGTAATTAAAATGACTGCTGCCTGTGCGTCCGGCCTAAGTAGCTAATTTAATTCGCAGGCCAGACTCGCCATTTAATTGAGAATAATTTAGCGACTGCATCGGAGGTCTGCTCCACACATTCCCCTCCATGTAATTTCCATATTTCCATCAATTTTTTGTGTGCAAATTGAGCAATTATTGTGCTGCTGATTAAATTCATTAGGACCTAGCTGTGGGCTCTGTGGCATGCCTCGTATGTGTATTGTAATTGCCACATTGTAGTCGTGATGGGGGAAAATGTATTGCCAGTTCGTGTGGGCTTTTTGTTATGTTTTTTCTCAGTATTTGTCGTTGATTTTGTCACAATCCATTGAGCTTCATTTCACTTTCGATGGCAAGACATGGCGCCTTGCTTTGACCCAAGGCCTGCCTAATATTTATTTGGCAAAAATGCAATGCCAGGTGAAAGCCAGAGGATGCCACCAAAAAGCCTGTGAAAAATTGTCTCTTTTTGCGATTCGTGGTGACATTCAACACACAAAGAGAGAGATAACATCCTGTTAAATTCGACCCACGCTGCAGCAAAAAACAAAAAGAATGCCGCAAAAGGCAGAGGGGAGCTGGCTGGCACAGGGAAATTCGACAACGACTCTGGGGAAGTTCAAAGAAAGCTGCCAGCAGCAGCAGCAGCAGCAGCAGCATCGTGCTACTCCCTGGCGAGCGGAGGCATCTTCGATAGCCTGTCCAAAACTTTGGCTGGGGATGTCTTGTGGTTTTGCCACAACAAATGTGCCACATTATTTGGAAGTGCCTTAAAAGAACCCAACTACCCCTCCCCCATGCCATTTCCTTGCACTTTTTGTTAGTTAGGGCAAATGGGCGATGCCCGGGGGCGGTCGCTGTTGTCTTTTCACTTTTTATTTTGTTTTTCCTGATGTCTTTGGCAGGGCGTCGCATGCTAATGCCACGAAGCTACCAGGGACCTAGACCCAGAGCATGTCTGTTGCCCCGACTGATGGCCAATATTAAATGAACTTTCACTGCAATTGAAATTTATGCGTGGCCATAGGGTAGCGTAGCGTAGGGTAAGGCAGAGTACTCCTCGTGGTAGTTATAGGCATTGGCCGGCAATGCTTGGCCTGAGCTCGATGAGGGGTGACGCAGAAGCTTCGTTCAGCTTCAGCTCCAGCTGTAAACTGTTGCCGCTGCTGCTGCTGCTGCTGCTGCTGCATGTAGGCTAACTGTGTCCCGGCTTTTGCCTGCCGGCAGCCCATAACAGTAGCACATAAAATATTAGCATAATCATCATCAATGAACGGATTCTAGCCATACTTTAGATACATATTTTTGTTTTGTCTGATGAAGCTGTTGAAACGTGAATTGGAAAGTGAATCGTTGTTAAAGTTAACCTGAATATTTGGCATTACCATTGGGCATTCAATGGGCAATAGATCTGTCAAATTGTGAAGGCAATGCATCAACATTTGATGGATTTTCGATTTAGTTAGAGATTTAGAAAGGTTTTACAAAAATTAAGCCTCAAGTACAGAAAATATGCACATTAAAAAATGCGAAAAAAAACGTTCATCTTGTAGCAAGGGTAAGGAGAAGTGAAAGATAACTTTTGGGGGAGTTAAAAATACAGAAAATGACTAATAGCAGCGAGCCTTAGAGCCTTAAATTGTGCTTCGTTGTGGTCTAGAGAGAGTAGAAATTATGGAGAAAGAAATTTTCTGGATGATTAAATATTCGACATTTCAAATACAAACACATACAAATTTAATAGAATTAACTCTGATTTATACATGAATTTATTTAAAAGTCTTTTAGAAATGCGGAACATATTTAATTTAAATAGAAACCACTTGAAAATCAATTTTTTTATGAAATATATTTAATTTAACGATGAAATATATTTAAATCAAACATTAGGTATTTAAAAAAAAAAACAGATAATATTTGTATACCAGTTTAAAAATGTAAGTGAAAGCATTTTCTTTTTGCAATCTCCCATCTCTGATTAAATCTAAAATCTTTATTTTCTGCCTATAATCTGAAACCCTAAAATTCTAGCATAAAATCAACTTAACGGCCCTAAAAAATCAATTCCAAAATCGTATATTTCCTTCAAAGAAACTTCGAATCTATTCTTTCCCATTGAATATTCATTGAGTCTCTCAAAGCAAAACCCAGCTTGTGGCATTGTCTGCCATTTGATCTACAAGTGGGAATAATTGGGTGTCTATTACAAAAGAATTTTGATGGGCCATTAAAGAAATCTCAGACGGAACAATATAAAATGCTTAACTTAACCGTTAAAAGTGAGCAACAAAACAAACATGTGAGTGAAGAGCTCTGCGCTTGAAGCTCTTCGAAACGTTAATAAACTTTCACTGGTTTTTCGATCTGGCGCAGAATTTGAATTGAAGACCCGACCGTCAACCACAGACAACAGCAACAGCAACAGCAACAAGCAAGCAAAGCAAATAACAAGCAGCACACACACACACCGGCACATATGTGTGTGTGTGTATATGTATATTAATGTTGTAGCTCCACTTTGGGTACGCAAATCGATGGCTGGCTGGTGACTGCAACACTGAAACTGTAATCCACTCCTTAAGTGGCCTACGCAGAAAATCAGCTCGACGGCGGCAGATGCAGCGCAGCTATATGGAGTGGCTCTCCAGCTCCAGCTACTCCAGTTTGTCCATCTTTTAAGCCAAGTCAAACGGAAAAGGCTGCCAAACTAGGCAAGATGCGAGTGCCACTGCCAATGGCTATGGCAATGCCTGGCACTGCGGGCAATTAAAAAATGAAATTAGATTTCCATGAATTCCAGTGAAGCAGCAGCCAGCAGGCACTTTTCATTTTTTTGCGCTTCAACCAAAAATGTCACCAATGCCGCGCTCCGTTTTAGGCATGGGATTCCATGGGATTCCATTTCCAGTGGCATTGTTTTACCTTTTATTCAGAGCAGTGCGGACCAGACCAGATCCAACCAGACCCAGCCAGAGGCATATTTAAATAGTGTCCGACGACTCACTCTCACATACAAATATGACAAGACGGTTATAACCCAATTACCCGAGCATTTTTCAAGTTTTTGTTTTACGCTTTTGGTGTCGTCGCAATTTGTATTGTACAACTGCCCAAAATGGAGGCGCCTCGCGCTCTGCCTCTCTGCCCCAGCACCTGATTTTGCAGCCCATCCCTGACCCCTGTCGCTGCTGTATCCACGCTTTTGGGTTGCTTTTGTTGGGTGTGTGTTTGGTGTGTGTTTGGTGTGGTCACCGACTGAATCGGACACTATCACAACTAAGACATCAACTTGTTTAGTCTTGCCGGGAATGCCTGCCTGCTGTTTGTGTTGTTGTTGCTGTGGAGGAAACGCTGTCTGTCTTGGTTGTTATTGCTGTTATTGTTGCCACTGCCACAGTTGCTACTCTTGCAGGGCAAAAGAGTTGCATGAATAATTCATGCGATTGGCTATGCTGGAGCTTAGCTCATCGATGGAAGAATACTTGGAATGGGGTAAGGAATTGCGCTAGGAATTCTGTGGAGGAAACGAATCGAGTTATACTGTATGGGAATTTATTGCCAGTTTTTCTTGCAGTTAGAGCAACAGTTACATTACAATCTTTCTGGGCAATGAATTCTCCCTAGATCTACCACTTATTACCTTCCTCAGTAATCCACCTGTCAGCCGCATAACTTAACCCTTTGCTGCCTCTACTACCCCCCACCCGCAACTCTCTTTTTATTTACAATTTATGAAAATTTTACTTGATTAAAACCTCACACCCCAAACCCCACAAAAGCAGCCAAAAGGCAAGGGCGACTTTCATTTATTACATTAACAATTCTTTGGGCATAGTTTTCGTCTGCAAGTGTATTTGATATTCGCTTAATCGGCAGATGGAAAACCGTTAAATCATGTTTGGTTTTTTAGACTGCGTGTTTCTTAATGACTCGACACTGTGCACCCCACACATCACACACTTCACACTCCACCTGCTGCCGCACACACACCCACCGTTGAGGCCGTGGAAGGGCGCCTCTTGGCCGCCTTAGTTCTGGTTTAGTTAGTTATGACCCATATTAAGCAGAGTTTTGCCCTAAACGATAACGAGGCATAGCCCACTTCTGGCTGGTAAATGGCAGCAAAGGCAATAATGCCTTCTTGCACTTGCCTGCCACTTGCTAATTGTGCGCCATGCAGCACACAAAAAGTGGCAGAAAAAACAAACAGCAGCAGCGAGGGGAGCAGGTGAAGAAAAGTGTCATCCGCTCCATAACGTAACAGAGCCAAAAAGAGGCATAGAACACAGCGATGTCTCTGCTGCTGTTCTGCTGCATTGCCCATGAAAGTCAACTGGCTAACAAATCCCGTTGGAAGCTTAGACTTCCACTCCCAATTGATGGACTCTGGAGCTGTGCTTGTGCCGCAGTCAGGGGTCTCTGTATTCCCGGGACCACTCGAATGGCTCATAAATCTTGCTGGCCAGTCGACTTTCCTCTCCTGCTGCTGCTACTTTTGCATTATATAATTGCCAAACAAAACAACAATTTTGTTGGCTTTGCCCTCCACTCTCACACTTAACTTAATGAGCCGAAATTTCACTGCAATAAAAGTATTTCATTTGAAGGTTTTTTTTCATCGCTATTTTCTGTTTTGTTTGGAGTCCAAAGAAAAGCCACAAGCAAAAGAAATTTGGTGGGGACAGCCAGCCGGCTGCTGACTCATTTGATCCGATCTCTAAAGAGATTTCTTACCATTTAAGCGTCGGGCAACAGGTGCTGCTGCAGCTGCTGCTCTGATTGGCACTGACACGGAGGAGACGCGAGCCGAGGCCGGTGCCGGTGCCGGTGCCGGCAAGCTCCAGGCATGCGCTGTGGGCAGGAGCAGCAAACAGAGCAACAGACCCATGGCTGCTGCTTGGACAGAAGGCGGTCGCCAGTCCATTGTTGGATGGATGGATGGATGGATAGATTGTTGGGGTACGTCACACACTTGCACCGTTAGCAGATATCAAAAATTCCAAAAAGTCAACTCTCGCTCTGGCCCACAGAGGCAGCAGCGGAGGAGCAACACTGATTTATGTACACACTCTTTTCTGTTTCTTCGTTTTTTGTTTGTTTATCGACACGCACAAGAACAAACGGCGCTTTGTTCCATATTTGTTTGATATTTTAAGAAAACCAAAGAGCCGAAACGAACCGATCCCAAACCGAAAAAATAACGTATAATATTCTCTTGTGTTTCTCTCTCTTTGCAGTAGCTGTTGGGGATCTGCGATCTGCACACGACCAAGTTCAAGGTAAGATTAAGCCATGACGCGCATACGTAAGAAGTTTTATACCAAAACACGAGCGGGGCAGCACCATGGCCAGCAGTTGCCAGTTGTCAGTTGCTGCCAGCTGGGATCCGGCGGCGGCTTAAGAGAGCGCAATGTGAAAGCGCGCCGCTCTTTGGAAAGTTTCGAGGCAGCGTTTCGAACCTGGTCAAGAGAGTCGAGCCGATAGAGCCAAATGCTGTAGCTTGCTATTGACTTGTTCGTTCGATGTTCGCTGGTTGTTTGGATTTTAGCAAAATGTGTGGCATGCACTGAACAAACGAATCAATTAAGTTGTCCGCTATGCGTTTGACCCGACACTCCCTGCCCTCCAATCAATGAACTGTGACATGAACTTTTATTGGGTTTTGAATTAACATTTTAGCCAGCTGTTGTTCTAGGTATTGTGTCATGCCTTTAAACAGATATTTGTGATTTCTTAGCTGTTTTAACCTCTTTAAAGTCCCATCTAATGGATTAACATACGAGTATTCGTGTCTGCATTGAGCAGGCACACGAATTGAACTCTTCGTTTCATTATGCAGACAACTGGCATTGGCCCCCACTGGATGTCATTTGGAAAGTCGTTCGTGGCAGAGAGATGCTAATCCTGCCAAGGCAGATGCTAATCCCTGTTCAGGGTTCAATGGAGTTGCAATGGAAAACAGGGGAGATATTTCCTGCCCACTTTTACCTTTCCCTTTCAGCGATCAGTTTTCATCATACTTAGCACCTTTTTTTAGTCAAACATATTGCATAGTCCATTTGTTTATTGATTAAATTAACATTTGGGCAACAAAGTTGCATCATTCACAACACATTCTGTGGCTGCAGCAGCCAAACCTAATTTTCACCTATAATAAGCTATGAAAAAGGAAAGTTTTCTAGCTATTTACCCACCCAAAGGCAGTCCCTAATTGACAATTGACTTGTACATTTCGCAAGCTAATGCTAGATGTGTGTTAAGGCGTAGGCCTAGACAGGGCTACGCCTGATAACCCCACAAACATTGGCAGGCACACACCTGTCTCTCGTCTCTGGCAGCAAACAAAAAGAAAGTTTGCACAAAATATTGATTGTCAGATCGAAGTTGGAGACGAAGTAGGTGTGAGCACAATCCACAATATACAATCCCAAATCCAATTTGGTCAACGCACAGCGCACATTCGTCGAATTATTGATTAGCATTACGAAATGTTTGAGGGGGAATTAGCGTAGAATTCGTGATGAACATTCAATCCATATATCAATTTCACTTTTCATCAGCAACAGCGGGACACCAGTTGGATGGGACACTAACGATGGCAATTAAGTGGACATAGGGCTGCCAGAGATGTCGCCAGGGATGGCCTGTGACATCCCGTTGTACCGTTTGTCGCTCGTTGCCCATTCCCATGTCCATTGGCATGTCCATGCAGGGAGCTTCCATGTCCAATTATCATGTTAGAAAGAGAGTGAGAGCAGCCAAGAGCCGCTGACAGCAGGTCTACACAGATACTACAGCTGCTGCAATCCTGTAGGCCCAGTGTCGTCGTTGCTGCTGTCAGTTAGACGCAATTATCCACATTTTATATAGGAAAAACAAGGCAAAAGATGCTGCTACTGTGTGTGCTGTCGTTGGTTGCACTTGGCCTCATGATTTGTCGTTGAGAAAAATCCATTGAATTGGAAAGAAAGAAAGAAACTAAAAAACCTTTGAAGTATTTCAATAATCGCAATGGCCAGTGCATTGGCTGACCGTTAGAAAGCAGACAAACAGTGAAATTCATTTACAACATTGATTTTTGGATTTGTATTTTTATTTACTATTTCCATTTATTTCTATTTATTTCTCCTCTCTTTAGTTTTGTTTTACTTTTGGCCTTAACGTCTTTTACGTACCTTCGTATGCGTGATGTTTTTTTTTGGTTTTTGGCACGGCTACTAATTAATTGAAACGCTCCACTTTGGACGAACGCCGACAAAGAAGACATCAGAGAGCAGAGCGACATCGGACACACGGTGCTCCACCACTCACCATTCACTCAGCTGCCTGCCCACACTTATGATGGCTGACGGCTAATGGTTGCTGCTGCTTGGCTGCTGTCAAGCCAGTTCAGGTCCAAATCCCGTGTATCCACCCATAAATCACTCAACGAGCAAGATTCCATAATGCCAACCCTGTTCCACCACAAGCAGCGAGGAGGAGGAGTAGGAGGAGTCGCTTCGATTTGTACCAGAGACAAAAAAGCAGCAAAACGTCCATTACATGCTCGGCCGCCTGTCCGAACGCCTCTAATTGCCACAGATAAATATTTATCGATCGCCACGCCATCGCCATCGCCATCGCCAGCGACTTAACTCAATCTTGTTAATTTGTTGCACTTGCCGGATAAGTTTTATTCATTGTTGTTTAATTGCTACTGGTGCTGACACTTTCTAGAGGATAATTCCCCCAACGCCACCACCCCTGGGTAGCAATTGATTTTTGTATGTTTTTGTGTTAAAATTTAAAAGACTTGGGAAACGAACCAAAAGATAGTGAAAATGCCAAAGGACTTAGGAAACGAACTTCAAAATGCCAAAGGACTTAAGAAACGAACAATGAAATTTGAAAAGACTTGGGAAACGAACTATGCCTACGCTTAAGACATGCTTCAAGGCCTGGATAATGCCTATCTCCGGTAAATCAGCTGTGCCTCGCCCTGATCGGCACGGGCCTGATTTGTTATTGTGACCATCATAGTTCCAAAAACAGCCAAAAAACCTTGAGACGCCACCCATTTCCAACCCACTGGCGCCGTCAGTATTGCGGCTATCTTTGGAACTCGTTAAATAGTTCGCTGCCATGAATAAGGCGGCAGAAAATTGAAGCTGATGTAGTTTCATGGCGTCAAGCTTCTGTCAGATGAAATGTTAAATGTCTAATGTTAAGCGTACATGGCTGGAACTTTTTTAATTTTTTAAGGTAATGCAACTAGCGTACTCTTTTTATACGCGGTACTCGAAGAGTAAATAGGGTATATTTATTATTAATATTAGGCACTCGCATAGAAGAAGGATTTATTTAGCAGATACAATAATTTTTCATTTAAAATTCTGCCTCAACAATCTTTCTTAAATTATTCCTCTAATTGATTTTTATATAATTAGTAGACAAAATATTCTTCTATAAAACTCTTCTATCTTCGCTAGGCTCCGAAGCACTCCCTTTTCAAACGCCCACCATGCATCAGTGACATTTTTTTTTGTATTACCTTTACCTGTCCACACTCTCTGTGAAGAAGCCCCCAAAAATTTACTGTCCCACCGCTAAGCCAACCATCAATCAACAGCCAACTCGTTTGAGAGATCTCAATCAACTAAACGATTGTCAAAGAGGGTAAAGCTAAGGCGATTACTCAAATTTGTTGCCCTTATTTAGTCACTCAATCTTTCATCTTTCACTCTACACAAATATTTGAATGAAATTGAAAACTTGACGAAGTAAAGTTGCTAATAAATGGATAAACCTCGATGATTGAGTCTATAATTATTGAACAAAATTTGATGTGTTTTGCTTCCACTTTGGGCCTCTCTTTTGGTGTTGTGTTTGGCGATTGTCTGGGGATCAGCCGGCTTCGAGCTACCGTTGAACAATGTCAAGTCATGACTCGGCTCGGCGCGAACTACCATTTCAATGTTTGCGATAATGTTGATGATTAGACGGCAAAAAGGCAAAGCTGCAGCACACGCCCCTATGGAAGCCGAAAGAAATCTCCTCGGTGGCACACACGTCAAATGCCCAATTAATCAAAGACCCAAAAAAGAGCCGAAACGACCGTAGCTGAAAAGACTTTCTTCTTCGACGCTGTCTGGTGGGGCAAACATCAATCACAAACTTCTGAGACGCCAGGGGTTGTCTTTCTTTGGTAATTGTTTCAGCTACTCCAAAAGCAAAGATCGCCCACATTTTGTTGTATATTTTATGCTATTTATTTAAGGCTACTTTGGGGGGCAAATAATTTAATTACAAATTAGTTTTAGGTGTACGTAAAGCTGCGTCCTCTCGTAAAGTCCGCTGACTAAAAGTGTGTGGTGTGTGCGTTCTTAGCGGTGGTCGTCGGCTGATCCCCAAGAGGGGCAGGCGCAGCTCTCAGAGGATCAAATGTCTCGCCCGATACTTGGTCGGCAGCAGGGCCATGGGATCTGTCTCCTTTGGCATCGCGTCAGGAGTCGCAACTGCGGGCTGCTGGCTCTCCCCTGCAAACTGTCCCGTTGGGGCATATCCTCCATAGGGATCCGAGCGACTGGCCCAGCCACCCTGCGTCTCATAGTTGTAGCCCTGGCTGGCGAGCTGTGCCTGCGTCTGGGCATTGCCATGGATGTGCAGATGAATCTCCTTGCTGGGCGGATGTCCATGTGGTCCACCGGGTCCACTTACACCAGTGCCTCCCCACGACTCCTTGGCATGTGGATTCCAGCCAGGATAGTTGAAAGTAGGCGCCGCGTGCTCATACTGGCCAAAGAGTGTCGATTTCAGCGTTATAAACTTGCCCAAAATGGCCACGGCATTCATCAGAACCAAAACCTTCAGCAGGAAGAGCGACTTCATGCCAATGGCCACCAAAAAGGCAACCATGGCGGACAGTACACCAAACTTAAAGATGATGGGTATCAGGGCCATTTGCAGGCGTCGAATCTTGCCAAATGTACGACCCTCTGAAAGAGAAAATTATAATTCAAACATTAATTCTGGTGAGGAATTTGCGTAGGTCAAAGAAATGGCATTCCAGTTGGGGGTTTTAGCTGCCATTATTAATGTAATTTCATCAATAAACAGAGCTGAACGCCTCGGACTATGCGAAAGTACACTAAAAAAACCATTCGGAAAAACAATAAAAACAAAAAATAAACCTACAACTCGCAAAAAAAGTGAGGCTCAAATATTTTCTCATGATTTTAAAGATGAGCGCGACTCGTATTTTTTTTTGTCTTATTTATTTAATAAATAAGTTGATGCGGAAAGTGAAATTGCAAAGGCTCCAGAGACAGAGCAGACTTGTAGCACAGCGCTGTGTTTTTTTTGTTAACACCTTTTAGCGCCTCTTGGCCGCTTTGTTGTTGTTTATCTCTGTTATTGCTTATCCGCTTTTTGGCCCTCGCTCGAGTCAGGTTTCATTGAAAACGAAAGTGAGTCAAGGGGCTGGGCACAGCAGGGAGAGCTGGGAAATGGGTCTTGATTGGAAGAGGCCGCTAATCATTTGAGAGTCAGATGTAATCAGCTTTGAAATGGCAGCCAAAGTCGAGCAAATGCCACTCAAGCTGATTACAAATAGTTCCACTAATTGTTTGTAAATGTTTTTTGGTATAGGAAGCGGCAGAGACTCACCCACGGCCGAGGTTTCAGCGTCCGCTGACGGCTTCTTCTCATCGTCGTCATCTCCGAACAGGCTTTCACCCAGATCGCTGCGCAGCCAGCTCCACAGTGTGCGCACCATGCCCCAGACACTGAGATCTGTGGGATTTGTGGTCGCCTGAACGGCAGTGGGGTTCTTGCTGCCGCTGCTTGTTGCAACAGCTGTTGCTGCTGCTGCATCTTTGTCTGCCTCCTCATCATCATCCTCCTCGTTGTCGTTCTCGTCGTCGTCGTCGTCGTCGTCTTTGTCGCTTTCCGCCTCATCAGTTTCTTCCTCCTCGCTGGCTGCTGGGGCTGCACCAGCTGCCTCCACTTTGTCTCCCGTCGCGGTGGGTTTTTCGACCTTTTTTGTTATCTTGGCGCTAAAAGCGCTGCTCAGGCAGCAGAGGGCCAGCAGCAGCATCAACATTGAGTGCCTCGCACTTGAACTCTTTGTGAGAAACTGAAAGTGGAACCAGAGAGAGAGAGAAGAAGACAGAGAAATTATATCAGTACGCTCGAGTGTGTGTCTCTCATTGTCATAGGAATGACAGCGAAAAAGAGACGCTTAAAAGCCATTTCATCATTTCCAGTTTGGATTCAGGTTCGGGCTTTGGGCTCTTGGGCTCTTGGGGAGGTGCGGAAATTGCGTAAACAAAAGACTTGGGAAACGAACCTGTTTCTGGCCCTGTTAAACGCATTTTAGAATCCACTTTAAACGGAAACCCAAAAATGCGAGTACAAGCAAACCGACTCGTAAAACCTTTTATGACCCCAACTCGAACTTTGGGTGCGAAAGCATTTCCCATTTTGAACTGTTGCATAATGAAATTTACAAATATTTCTTCTTTGGCCGGTGCCGACCCGCTGTCACTGTCGCTGTCGCTGGCAATTTAGATGTAAATTAAAAGTTGCTAAAAAAATATTTACATAAATGTGATTTGATTTATATTTGACGCATTTAGCGGATACAACTAAAGTGAAACTTAAGCCGGATTTAAGCAGGATAGAAATCCTGCTTGAAAAAGAAAATTACAGTCTAAAATTCTTGCAGAAAAAACTTTCAAGGAAGCTCTTTAAAGAAACTTTTAAATAAATACTATAGAAAACCGATTAAATCTAACCCGTTACCCACTCCACTGTCAAATCCATTAAAACTACAAATTTCTAAAACATTTAACGTTCACACACACCACAAAATTGTAAACTCTTAGCATTGGCCAAACCTTTACTTTTGGTAAAGTGAAATTTAAATATGACCTAGCCCGAATTTGTTTCCCAGAATGTTTACAACAAAAAACTGAAAGTCATTGGATTGTTAGAGCTTTCCATTTCCAATTCACCTGCAGAACCAAAAAACACACAAATATAATTGTGGTAACCAATTTGGGGGAACACAACTGGGCAAAAGATATTCGCCCAAAAGCCCTAACAAAAGAGTAAGCAAATAAAGTGGATCTAACGGTTGGCTTCGTTCCCTAAAAACATATATCATCGTTTCGTTGGAGATGTTTTAATTAACGAAAAGAATTTGCATGCCAAAAACTGCTGTGAAACGGTGAAGCTGAGCCCAGAGAATGCCTCCGCTTCGATATAATTTGTGTTCGCTTTTGCATTATCTAATAAAAATAACTTCATTTTTGGTGCCCCATTGTGTGGCCTCTTAGTCAAATATTCGCCTCATTCGCCAGTTAGTAGGCCAAAACGCTTTTGTGCTCAATTTGTGGTGGCTGAAAACTGTAAATGGAAATCTATTTTGGCATGGCCTTGATTCAGTTCAAAGCAATGCGATGCACAAAAATTAATTAAAGTTTCGATGAGGCGACTGCAACTGCGGGGAAAACAAAGAAAGAAAGTCTTTCACTTCTCGTGTTGACGCAACAGTCAGATAGAAATGCATTTATAAAAAATGTGTGACTGATCGACATTTACATAATTTCCCATTTCTGTTTGAAAGACTGAACGCAGTTTTTTCAGCTTAGTTTCACTTCTGATTTGTTTCAAAACACACGAACGCCCATCCCATTCCAGTTAATTAGCATCTTCTGATGTCTGTTTCGTCATCGGTGTGGAGAGTATTATCGAATCTGAGTCAGGTCTTGGGTGAAATTTCATTCGATTTAAGCTTCGCCTCGTTATATGTAAATAAAATCAAGGCTTGGGCTGCCACAAATATTTGCACTTGCTGCTGGGCCAAGATTTCACTGCAAATTCCAGGAAATTGGCGGCGCTAAAACGTTGCTGATTGTTATTATTGTTGCTAAATGGAAGGAAGGGCTCAGCAGCAGAGAGGCAAACATCCATCATTGGAAAATCTCCACAATAATTTCAAACAAATTATCCTCAAACACCCATTTATCGTATTAATTCCACTAATTTGCCAATAATTTGCCTGTCTGGGCACCCCAAATTGAACCAAATTACACCTAAAAGCTATAAACATTATATCGCACACAGCTCAAAATACTTTGTTTATTTTAGCCTAATTTAGGCCAATAAAATATTTATGGCTTTATGGTTTAATGGCAAATGAAATGAATTAGCATGTAGGCCTACAATAAATTCCTTAGACTTTCTTTTCCCCATGGGTGTATCCTACATTATTTACCAGATTTTATTAGCCAGATATAATTATGAATGTATATGCTAATCAAATCGTAAAAACAAAAACACGCAGCACAGTTTATCTTAGATAATTATGAATCTGCGGCACGACTTTCTATGTTTATGACACTTTTGCAGCCTTTATGCAATTGAGTGGCACGTGGTTGAGGCCAGGCCACAGTTTTTAATACTTGGCCATTATCTAATGTCCATATAAAATGTCGCAGTTCATGACACGGGCCATGTGGCTCCAAATAAATGGCAGATGGCGCACACAAATTTGAACAACAATTGAAAACTGGCCGCGAAATGAAAAACACGCCTCAAAAGAAAGTTTTGGCCAACATACACAAAAAACAAGTACACACAACACAAAAACAGTCGAAGATTGTGGCCAAGAATTTGTCATTTGGCATTTGTCACACAAGCTCTTGGCCTGCATTTGGGCCTTTTGTGTGTTGGCTCCTTTTCGGCTGGGGATTGGGGTAAAGCGAACACTGAACTCGTGCCTGGCATGCCAATGCCTGACGGTTGTGTGTGTGTGTGTGTGTGTGTGTTTGAGGGGGATTCCCCCCTTTTTTGACTTACCATTTTTGTTAATGATGGCTCAGACTTTGTGATCTGTGGCCAATTAGTGCCTGGCTCTCGAACAGGTGGCTGGTAACGCGTTATCCTTAATTATATCTGCTACAATTGGCACTTTGGCGCCGGGCAATGAACCACTTTCACGCCAATCTGCTGGCAGACACGCAACGTGTTGTCCAAAAATTAAACACACGAAACTATAGGCCAGTACAAACAGTTGCTTGGCCAAGGAGTGCTCTGTATTTGGCCAAGATTAAGACGCTGATTGAATCCGTATCGAGAGAGAGAGATGTGGTTGGCTAGAGAGAGGCGACTGCAAAGCTTGAGATGTAACCGCTGACTGCCACTTGGCGCTGGCCCCAGCCAACAGGTAAGGTCCGCGCGTCTGCGTCTGCGTCTCGGCTCATGGCTCTCCGTCTCTGGACGGGTCTCCGTCTCTGTTTTGGCCAGCGCTTCTTCGGCTTGTTTGCGTTGGCCCGCACGCTCTCCCAGAGCCAGTTGGCGACAGAGGTAGAGACAGAGAGGCGCTTGCGCTCTTCCAGTTTCGTTTTCAACACTTTCTTCACAATTTCCCCTAAACGGCAGCAGCAGCAGCAGCAGCAGAAGATCAACCAACATCGAGTCGGTCCGGTTACCACCAAAAAAAAACCAAAAACTGCAAAGTCAATGTCGCTCCGTGTCCACATCTCTCTGTCTATCTTGCTCTCTTCCTGTATCAGTATATCCATTCCATCTCTTTTGGTGCTTTTTTATTGCTTTTGTATTACGAATTGTCGTGCAATGGCACAGAGCATAAACGAACGTGACAAAACGCACAACTGACGTCACAAATTGACCGAGAGTACTCTCGCACGAGTCTCAGTTGCAGTGGGAGCCAAACCCAGACCCACCACCCAGTCCCAGTGCCCTGCAATGCTGCTCTCATTTACGCTTCCTCTCTCTCTCTTTCTCGCTGCTCCACTGCTGCGGCGTCGCTGCTGTTGAGTCGCTGCTGTCGCCTTATCTCTTCCACAGATCTTCCACTGCTGTTCGTCAGCTCCTTTGCATCTGCTTTTAAGCTCTGAGGAAATGAAGCTGCGCGCTGCAGTTTGCAGTTTTTATGACTGTTTGCATTTTGTGTCTGGAAAAATAACAGTTCTGTTACCCTGTGATTTTCATTTATGTTATTTGTATGCACATCTGGTCTTCACATCTGCTGGGGTATTTAGAGATTATAACACTTAGCCTCTCCAAAGCAAGGCTGCCTTCAAGCCTATTTGTTATTTTCAGCAAAAATAAATAATATTTTGGAAGCCATAAAAGTCACAAAAAGAGCATTTAGAGGTCTATGAAAATAAATCTCCTTGGGCTTTCTCATTTTCTCGTGCCAAAAGGCTGCAGTGTGCATGGGCTAAAGTGATGGCAAACATTTTTGCCGGCTCCGTTTTACACGATCTCCGTCGCTCTCAGGCTGTCTGGCTGCCTCTGCGGCTTTCGTGATTGTCTTGACCCATTTCCCCACTACGCAGGTTTCTCACTCTCTCTCTCTGTCTCCCTTTCTTTATCGCCCATAGCCACGCTTTTACGCATGCCGAACTCCCGGGGGGAGCATTCATTCGATCCATTCACATTCACTGAAGATCATCTCTCTCCCGTTTCGTTTCCCTTCTTGTGCCTCCAGTGATTTGCATGATAAGGCACGCAGAGCATTTCCATAATAGCCTAGAACTTTTAGAACTTTAATACCCTTTTCTGATCAGATGCAAATGGTTTGATTTGTGGCTTATAATTGTCACAGTTCCCTGAGGAAGTTACAGTTAAATTAGCCAGAACTTTTAATCGGAATGTTGCTCCAGAAACGAAAGATAAACATTCTATACGAGCCTCGGTTGACATTTTATGATCATGCTAGTCTATTGTCATTACATCAAATAATACGAATATTGCCACATGTTGCCCAGTTACATAAATAAACTTAAAGCGAGACCGGCCTGCAACTGTCATAAGTTCCCTCCGACAAGAGTCAAGTCCAGAGTCAAGTTCGTTGCTCTGTCTGATGCAGCAGTGTAATCCCAGCGCAGAGTTTGTTCAAATCATTACATAATGGCACCCCAAACCAACTGGAACCTGGCGATGGTGTGTGAAAACCGTTAAGTACATGAAACGCACCTACAAATGTACCTCTCTGCTGGGTTCAGGTTCACGTTCACGTTCAGGGTTCACCGGGATTGGGGGTTCAGGTTTTTCGGAGTTCAGTTCGCTTTGCTCTGGGTCTCGCTTTAATGGGACTTTCATATGCCCCACAAAAAAACATCAGAGAGTTCCATTCATTGGAACGCTCTATTCCTAACGGTTCTCACACCTTTTGACGCTTGATCTGCTCTCCCGTTCTGTGCATTAGATATGGATACGGCCATTTAGTTTGCATTTTGATGGAGCTCTTTATCATAATCGTTTCCGTAGAGGTTCTTTGAAGAGGTGTACCCAAGTAATTGGCTATCTTAGGCGATTCAATTACAGCACAGATCGGTTTTCCATTACTTTTCTGATTTATTTTTATTTGGATTAACTGAACACGATATTATTATAGACCCCTCCCTTTAATTTGGTTTACTTTCGACCCCAATTCGATTGATAGACATTCGAGTAGTAGCTCTGCCAGTTGGGATTGCTCAGCGAGGCATACGGATTGTTGTAGTTGTTGTTGTTGTACACCGGATACAGATACTGGCCAATCACATAGGGCCAAATGCGTATCTTTGTATTGTCATAAGGACTCGCTGTGGCATAAGTGCTGTAGTAGGTATACGGCGTGGTCTGGTAGTAATATTGATTCAAGCTGGAGAACGTTGGACTGGGCGAGTAGTAGGGATTGTACTGTGTATAATACTGGGAAGATGTGAGCTAAAATGTAGATAAATACTCATTAGATGGCAAGCTCTCCGATCCTTTTGTGTTTAGGAAACTTACCGCCAGTAGGCAGGAAATCAATAGCCAGTAGAGGCTGCAATTGTAGCTGGATTTGTGTGACATTTTGTGTGATGGAGCTGTGATTCCGGACTAACTATGTTGCGCTCGGACTTTTCCAATTTATAACGCCCCGAGGTGTGACAATTTTACGCACGGCTGCCGTATGGCAATTTTCCCCAATTAACTTTGTTTTGCTCTGCCCCCTTTTTTTTGGTGGCACCCCGTGTGGAATTTCGTCATTGAACTTGACTCATCCCCCGGGTAACGATCGGTGCCAGTAACCACCTGATGGTTGGTTGCTGGGGTTGTTTACCCAGTGGATGGATAGATAGATTGTACTTAGCCCAGCGCCGGTGGGTTCCCGTGACGTAAAAGGAAGGAGAATTATCCACAAAACACTTTGTTTCTCGGCCATAAATTAGTCAATTAATTATGAGTAGCATTTTGGGGTAGCTGCAAATTTGATTTCGTTTTTATTTGTAAATTATACAATCCGCAGTTGTTCCGTAGTTTTTTGTTTGTTGGGAATGCAAATGGAATTCGTAAGGGTAAGGGTAATGGGTAAATGGGTGTGTGGGGTAATGGGACCATTTCTATATACATTATATACACAACACGACTCCTCCTACTCTTCATCTTCGGCTCTCTGTCTCTCTCTACATTTCTATATCTATCTCTATCTTTACGCAATTAGACTAAAATACAAAAATTACAAAACGAAACTCAACAAAAATTGTCAACAAGTCGCTTAAATTAATTCGATTCAATTCATTTCATTGCTCATTTCGTATTTCATGGAATTTTACAGCATTCTATTCATTCAGGGCATTTTAATTTAATTAGTTTGTTTGCTCTTGGAAAGACAATAAATATTTAGTTAAGTGCAAATCGTTTTAGTAATCCTCATCATCTTCATCTGGCGGATCTGTGGCATACGTCAGTTCGTTCAGATAGAACCATTTCTATGGGTTATAATTAAAGTGAGACATTAGCCATAAATATGTTAAAATATGGTCAGAGTTCTGTTACTTACGGGCGACTCTGTGCAATTGAAATTGTAGTCCCAATCACAGATTCTGTATTCCTGATTGAAGCTCGTCTCGTTGGCGCACAGGTGTGGTATCCGATTGCCCTCTTCATCGCACATATGGAAGATCTGTCAGACATAACAAAAGTTAACATACTTTCAGGCAGCCAAACAAAAGCACAAGCCAGACTTCAGCTCAAGCTTTGTCTCTCCGTCTCTCTCTCTTCGCGCTCACCTGGCAATTGTACTCCATGTCGGCATAGAAGCCCACCGATCGCCTCTTGCAATCGAATGAGAATGTTATATTATCTAAATTCGTCCATTCCTTCGTCTTGTGATTTTGAAATACTGGACTGGCTAGATCTTGGCCTTGTACCGCAATGGCGGCCAGCAGGATGGGAGCTGACAAATAAAAAAGAATGCAGAAAAATTGTAAAATATAATTGTAGCTACATTTTGGTCTACATTCTATAGATAAAAGGTTGCCTATTTGAATTAAATTATAGCTTTGAGAGACACCCAAATAATTTAAATATATTTCAAACCCCATAATAGTTCCCTTAACATTCTTAACATTTCCTCGCTTTTGGCATTGTTTTTATTTTGCTAATTTTCGTGTGTTTGTTTCCCTTCCAATTCTTTGCACTTTGCCAGCCGTGTGTTGCCTGCTTTGCCTCTTTTCTTCTTCTCTCCTTCTACAGGCCATGGCCAATTCCATAAGTTATTTGGCTCACGCATGGCCCAACACACAGCAGCAGCAGCAGCAGCAGCAACAAAACGGGCCAAAAACAAAACCCAATAGCATTCGGTTAACCAACCTCAACGTCAATGGCTTAATCGACGCACTTAGCATTTAATTTGTGTCTCCATCTCTGTCTGTCGCTCCGTTCGACTGTCTGTCTCTCAACGTCTCCTATTGGGGACAGGTACTCGATCGTACTCGTAATCGTACTCGTACTCGTACTCACCTAGTAAAACGCCGGAAAGCCATAAAATTCTATAACTGTAAACCATTTTTGTGGCGTTGGACATTTTGGCGTGAATTTTGTTTCTCTGGCTCTGGCTCTGGCTCGTTTGAGGTATTTCGCCTCTGGGCTCTCTCTCTCTCTGTGCGATAGCACGCTGGAAATCCAAATCACAACACTCGCTCTCTCTCGCTCTCTCTTGGCCCGTTTGCTACGCGTCCATTTAGTTGGCTCTTCTGTTGTCAATTAGGAAGCGGTGTCTATGTCTATGGCGTATGGCTTATGGCAGGCACATGGCTAAAATGAGAATAAACCAGAAAAATGTTGAATTAATTTTCAATGAATTTCAGCTATGTAGATAGAAAGAAGTTTGCAAACGTTTATTGAAAAGGAGGCAAATCAAATCAAAGCATTTGCTAAGCTCATGAATTTTATGTATTCTTAATGATCGCGTTTGTCGGATTGTTATTTGTTTTGCAAACAAGTCTCTCAGGTTTTGTGAGCTAATTGATTGAAAATTGGGAAAGCACAAAATTATTATTGTTTATTGCAACAGAAAGTATGTCCGGAAGGTTCCGGAATGTGTCTAGGATTGGTATTTGTTAGAGTTTTAGATTAAAGATAGATTTATAGATGCTTAGATGAGAACCAGAGTAGGTTTGGTTATCCCTACAGGCTGCTATAGTGCCCTTGGGGTGAATAGTTGCACAAGGAAATGATTCTGTAACAAATCGTTTTACTATGACTCTCTGAACAGCTGGCCAGCTTGCCTTTCTTTTTAATTAAATTGCATTGAAGCTGGTCTTACAGTCTATTACAAAATCAAAACCAGACAGACAGCCAGACATGCCAGCCAGACAGACCTGCCCCAACCAGCTTAGACACAATTTACATGCCGAACCCACGCCCAAACCAAGTCAAGACACATCAGAGATTGACTCATCAAGCCGGATGCATCAGCTTCTGGTTTAATTGATTTTATTTTGAGACACAAGTAAACCCCTCGTATAACGAGTCCACACCTTTTTCTTTGGGGTTACAACAGGATATATCTGCTTAATGCTGACCCACTTTGGTGTCAATCAGAATTCTATGACTTCTGCTGACTAATCGTCGACAAATATTCACAAAAATATTTCATAATAATATTTCACATCAATCATAGACTGTCAAATTAACAATGAATAAAAGAGAGGGCGATGGTTGTGGTGAGGAGAGGGGAAATATGCTTATGGCCAAATGCTTTAAACGCCATTAAAAGGCAATCAGTCAATGGCAGATCCAATCAGCAAATAGATTCTATTTATGCAAAAATATTTCAACGTTTTGTGGCGATTTCCTTGCCGTTTCTTTCCCTTACGAATTGATTCATATTTTATTTGGGTATTTTGTCTGCGGTTTTATTGTTGCAAGCGGTGAAAAGAAGGTCGAGTAGGCGAGTGCGGCCTTGCAGCCTCAATTAAATTGTCAACCCGGGCTCTGATCTGGAGGAGAATCGAAACAAAAGTCTGCGACTGGGACTGAGACTGAGAGCGATTGGCGATTCCCTTGATTAACTTTTATTGTGTGTACCTCCATTTGGGCTCTTTCACTTGGGGCATGCCCCGACTGTGCTGTAAATCCTTGACATTTTACTGGAATTTATGGCCTCTGGATGCGTAGATGACGTCGATTGCCATCGCGCCGCGCAAAGGCCATGCCATGCCACGAAAAGATCGCAGACGAAATAATCGTAAATTGTTTTTGTCTTGGCCTCCCGCGCAACTAATTTTCCTGGCACTGACTCCTGGCTACAGGCGGGCAAGGGGCAGGGAGGAGTGTGGCTGCAACCGGCTATGTCTGGCCACAAAAATGAATGATATGCAAATTTTGTTGGGCTCTCTTAAGCCGAGTCCGTGATGAAGTGAAGGCAGGTCTTAAGGCGACGTAAAAGGTCATCAGTGCCCGGGCCAAGCAAAAAGTCATCTTCACGCAAAACTGGAAAACATTTCATGGAACGTATGGGCAGGGGAGAGGCCAAGACAAGACAAGGGGGCATGAACAAAGAGGCGCCTCCGAGATGACACAGCAGCAACAGCTGTCCGTCTGCCCAGGGCCCCCGTTGGTTTGCCTCTGGTCCAGCTGCTAGTACTCTGTCTTTCACCTTTTCGACGGACTGTCGACTGACCATGGCGCCTGTGTGACAAATGCCAGAAGAGTGGAAGCCTCAGCCCCCCTTCTGCCTTTTGTTTCTCTCTTAATATTTCCGTAAAGTGGTCTCCAACGTAATTCAAGTTGGGTTTTTGGGTTTTGGTGTATTTGTGGGATTTTGGCTAATGGCAAAACACTCTTCAAGCGCGCTTCACTGCATCACAAGACGCCTACAAATCCTGAAGAGGCTTTCAGCCAAGAGGTAATTGATTTTAACGGATTTTAGACACGATTGTTTGGGGCACTATCAGTGGCAGATTTAATGGTTTATTTAATACAACTTTATTGAGCAGTTTGTGGATAAATCTTTTGCTTAACAGATAATGGGTTTTATTTTGGTTTAAAGCATTAATTGAACTGGCAGCTTTAAGCTTTCGGAAAAACACTAAAAAGCAAAGATTTATTTAACGCTTTCTCTGGCATATAAAATACCGAAATCCTTTCTGCTCTTTTATTTCTGTCATTCAAAGCGCATTCAAAATTCGTTCTTTGGGTGGCCAACGAGTTTCTCCCCATCAAAGCTGATGAGATATTCCCCTGTAATGCACATCGCATCGTCACTTTTGACATTTTCTGACAAGCGTGAGAAGCGAAGCGACTGCTAAAACTACGACAGAGAGGGGGAAAGAGTTGGAGACCAAGAGGAGACCCTCTAGAGACTCCATCGTTTGTGGTCGTCTATCAATTTGCTGTGGCTGGTTGACTCTTGTTGTTTGGGTTTCCTCCTTCGTGCCACCAGCATTCCGTGGGCTGCCTCGTTGTTGCAAGTGCAGCCACACATTCTGCCTGCCTGCCTGCCTGCCTGCGCCTTGTCTTTCAGGCCACCATCTGCATTCCTCAAGCATGTGCGACATTAATTTTGGTTAAACCATTTTGAAAGTCCCATTTTTAGTTGATTTTGTTGTTGCTTTTGTTGGCTGTTTGGCGTCCCGTTGATTGGATTTGCGGCTAATTCGGAAGTTTGTTGGCGTTGCCTTGCGAAACATCGCACTAATTTGTTAATTTCTGACGCGTAACCGAAGGCGCAATGTTTTATGAGCGGTGTTTTTTAGGGCCCCCCAGTAAAATGTATGTAAATGTTCACCAAATTATTTTATTTCTTGATGAAACACACAAAAACATAGGTCAAAAACGAGTAAGGAAGAGTTTTGTTAGAGGTCGAAGGTGGAAACACTCTTTGGAGTAGCCCAAGGATGGAATGTGAAGGTCTTTCCATTCAATCGGTTGCACTGATAGGAAGCAGAACTAAACCTATATGGACTCTATAAAGAACACAGGCTCGAAGATCCCTTCTTTCTCTCATAAAAAATCAAAACAAAAAGCCAAAAAGTTTATTCAAAAATTTCCTTCATCGCCAAAAACCGCAACAAAGTAAAAAGTCAACGAAAAAAATAAAAAGGAAAAGCTGAGACAATTATTTCACCGTTTTATGGTTGTGTGTGGCAGCGGAAGCACCGCTAATTGGCGGAACTGCCACACAACAACAGCAGCAGCAACAACAACAACAGTGGATACAAAGAAAAGCAACAGAAAATATGTTGAAACGACCAAGGCGGGAATGGAGAGATGGAGATGACGATGACGATGACGACACCTGAGACACCGGCTTATTGCCACCGCGCCCCAAAGGGGATCCGGTGCGGATCGGATGGACTTACATAAGCCATAAGCAGCTGGCAAAAAACAAAACAAAAAACATGGCCTAATCATCTCAACCGACTCCCAAGTAGCAATTGATTAGGCCGAACGCGTTGACACCTGGACAAGTGGACAACAATTTTTTGCACAGACACACATTTTTCAACGCCAGCCAACAACTGACAAAACAAAAGACTAAAAAATAAGTAGCAGACTGGATACCGTTTAATTGAGCGGCCAGCAGCCAGCAGCAAAATTGGAAACTTGTTGTTGGGGCTGGGGGATGGCACCATCCCGATCCAGCTCCCAAAACCGCTGTGCCATGTGGGGGCTTCCGCCCGTTCCGACCGATTGTTGGCCTTGAAAATTGTTGGTACGCAGAAATGCGCTTAATGCGAAAAATCAATAACGCTAAAAACACAAACACACGCACGCACGCAGCCCGATACGAGTATATTCCAGCTGCAAATCAACAAAAAACTAAAAAAGTAAATAAAAAAAGTTCAAAGTTAATCAGCGCTGATCAGAAAAAACCGAAAACCGGCTCGGACTCGGCACTAAACGAAGCGATTAAGGCAGATTTATAAACGAAACAGCTACACCAAAGCGCCCACAATATATAACACCAAAATAACAAGCAGAAATAGCATAAGGAATTTCGAAACAATAAATATAAAACAAGCTAATGAGTGCCCAAAAATGTCCAAGCTATATGCAGGTTACCTATCAGAAAAACTTAATCCCATAAGCCCACACCCGTAATCCGTATGCAAGTTATTTAATTAAGATTTTTAACTGCTCATCAAAATCTACTTTCAAACGCCTGCAACTAAATGAAATGTAATCTGCTTAAATGTGTGCGATAAATAATGAATTTATTGATCTATAAAAGGGGGAAATACCAGCATCCCAGCTGTGTGGGAAATGAATTGTCCAAGAAAGTTCAGCAAATAACTTGTTTGACACTGTGGAAAATATAATCCAATGTTGACTTACTTATGTTGACTTTAACGATTGCAGCTTCATTTATGGTTTATATAACCATATTTTAGCAGATTCAAGTGACAAACTACCAATTACAGAAGAAGCTTTATTAATGAATCAAATCAGGCATGGGGTTGGCTACAGGTTTAGGCCTAAGCTTTTATATTTACTTATTTATTTATTGTCAAGGTGCATCCATCCTTGGCAATACAGTTGCTACCCTTTTGTTAGAGGTAGAGGAAGTTAAGGCGGGGAGCACACAAAACTAATAATTAATTAAAATTCCATTAAATGCGTGGAGAGATATTTATGCCCGAGAAGCATTGATCGATCGATCACACAATGCCAATTCAGTGATTTAAATGCCATCAGCAGCAGCTGACGATGCCGTTGCCCATGTCGATGGCTCTGCCGATGCCATGCTGCCGACCTCTGACAATAATGCTGACAACAAAGTAACAACCAACAAGAAACAATCACAAAAGACGGATCAGCTACCGATCCGATCCGCAGCAGCGGGTCTCTCTGACCTGCCAGACATCCCCGGCAAAGCCGCTGCTTGGTGTCCATCCGTCATTAACATATCAGCATTTGTGCTGTGCTTCAGCAGAAATAACAATCGTTACAAGGGCAACACAGCCAGAGTCGGAGCCATCATCTGACGATGCTGTTGCTGATGCTGATGCTGATGATGATGATGAAGAAATTGTTCAGTTATCTGCTCAAAGATACTCATGGTGTACACATGGTGAACAGACAGATACTCGTATTTTTAGATTCGCTAAGGTAACATCTCATTGAAGTTGTTATTGATTGATCGCCTTGCGGCAGAGACCGAGCCCAAACCCGAACCCTATCCCTGTCCATCCTCTCAAGAGCTGGCAGCCCAGAGCTCATGGCAACTCATGTGATTTGTAGCGCGAATATTTGGCCAGTGGCTAGCCACAATGACGCGACGCCTTTGAAGTGGGCATTAGGCCTGCATCCCATAGATACAGAGACACAAAAGCTACAGGCAAAAACCAAAGCAATCATCAGCTTGCTGTTGTTGTTGCTGCGGAAACCAAAATTGGACGCACAGGCAACGGCATTGTTGTTATTTATACATTAATTTTGCAATCTTGTATTAAATTTTAAAATTCAAACTTGTTCAACTTGTTGGCTTGGTAACGGATATCGGCCTGGGCATCGGTAAATACTGATTGTATCCTATAGAAAAAAAAGGTGTGATATTGAGCTCAACTTTTGGTTAAGGTTAGCAGAAGGCAGAACAAGATTCACAAGATCTTTCGAGGCGTCTTAGAGCTGACTGTGATGCTCTTCTAGAAGAACCCCTTCAAATCTTTCCATTATAATCTTAAAATCTGTCCCAAAATCCCATAAACTTCTGTGACGCACACATCCAGAATTATTTAACATAAAATTGAATAATTTATCTGTTCGATTTGTTAATAAATGTTGAATTTTGCTAGCTGCCAAAATAAAATCGCCAATCGCCAGCCACTTGTCTGGGTTGCTTGGCTTGGGTTGGCCAATAAAATTTCTGGTTTGATTTCTCAATTTGCCAGAGTAATTTGAACCGGTTGGCAGAGCGAGCAGAGCAGAACGGTTGTGGGTTGGGGGTGCGCTGAGAAAAAACCCTTTTGGGGGAGTTCAAGGCTCGCCACGTGTCGTATACTTAATGTGCCGGCACTTGAGTCGTTGCACACGTTGCAATACGTTGCTCGGCCAAACGCTTTTCACACAATTAAACAGCAGCAGCCAGCAGCCAGCAGGCAGCATTAACTAACCGACTGGTAATGTGGCAGCCATAAATTGTATGTAAATCGCGTTGCCTTTTTTTTGTGTTCGTATCGTTTCGTTTCGTATAGCTTAAGTTTTATTGCAGCTAAAGAAGAAAACGGTACAGACCAGACGAGACGCTAAACAATGCAAATAAATTACGGCTTCTGCTGCTGGCGGTGCTGCTGCTGGTACTGTTGGTGCTGCGGGTGCGGATACTTTGTAAATTGTACTGATGTGCAATTGAACGCAGAGATTCGCACAGATATCCACACAAACACACACACACACTCACACACTCACACACAGATACTGCAAATATTTTCCAAGAATGCGGCAAGCGGGTGGCTATGGCTGCTGTGACTCTCAGACTCCACTCTCAGCTGCCGCCTGTAACTGCTGCTGTTACTGCATTTAACTTACACTTAAATAACCACAATCCTAAACAACAAGTTTTTCTTTTTTCTTTGCTATTTTGTTTTCGTCGAAGTCATCGATTACATTCAGCTTCGCCTGATCCGAAGCGAGAAAATGCAAGTGCGCAGCCTCAAGCCAAGCAACTTTTTTTCTTAAGGTTTTTCTTTGCAATTTACTGGAAGAGCACATATCCGTTTGTGTCAAAATAATGCTATATATGGAGAGTTCTGCGAAAAGATTTAAAGCCACAAGCTTTGATTGCAAATCAGATGCAAAAATCCCCCTAATAATTTGGCATTAGATTCTCTTCATAGAATTATCAATTAGGTTTCGTTTTCTGTCAAAACAAGTTTCTTTTACTGGGAAGGTCAAGACAATAAAAATAGCTAAATATAATGCTCGTTTCTATAAGGAATCAGTAATATTTTAAGCTGTCTTTTCGTCATTCTGCAGACTCAATATATTCCTAAAGCTAACTCTTCTATACATGATCTACATTTTTTATTGAATATCATATAATCTGCATGTTTCTACGTAATTTCCGTATCTTTCTATAGAGATGAATATATATATATATATTTTAGTTTCTTAAACATTTTCGTTATGTTTTTTAATCAAATTGATACAAAAAAGTGTGTTAAAATTTGTATGAAGAATATTCAAAAGTTTTATAAAGTGAGGCTGCCTCGTTTGTATCTTATTTATTGCTAGACATTATTTTGACAATCGAAATTGTATATATTCTCGCGAATAATTAATACTGATGATGGCGATAATTGTATAATATTTTATAAAATTAGTGTTCCATTCATGAATAAAACAAATATATATTTGAACATATTCGCTAAAGATTTATGCTGATATTAAGATATTCTCAGATGCGATGTTTATTTCGTGGCTTCCACTTTGAAAAACAAAAAAATTGTTAATAAAATGTGTAGATGTTAAATGTGCATTCTACATATTTTTCTAACATATCTTCTATCTAATAAATCACATAAATGTTTAGCTTGAAAGCGAAATTCCTTTACCCCTCAATTGTCTAGAAAAAAAACCTTCGTAAGCGGAATTGCAGTCTTGGGTCTTGGATCTTGGATCATCAACAGACTTAGCCGCTGGGGGCAACTTGTTTTCTTGTTCTTTTGCATATTCATGTGGCGCTGTCCAATTGCTGTGTGTGTACCGTCATCGTGGCAGCTGAATGGCAAAGTTTAAATGGCCTTAAAGCCCACCCTCTGGAGATATTTCCCCCCCCCCGTCTGTGCGAGATGCTTACGCAAATTGGCTCCGATTTTTGACAAATTTGGCAGGGGCATGGGCATTGAATTATGCTAATGGCGCTGATAGCGATACATCATTATGTGCGTCGCGGTGTGGTGTGGCATTATGTAAGCGCCACGAAATGGGAGCACACGCATTGTATAAGAGTTTTTGTTGCTGCTGGAGGCTGCCGCTGCAGGCTGCCGCTGCAGGCTGCAGTTTTGCAGCTGGAGGGAGGGCCCACCTACCTACCTTTTAGGAGATTGCACTGGAGGAGGAGGCTGCGGGGTAAATCCAAAAACCGAGACCAACAAATCCGCAAATCTTTCAGGCACTGCAAAAAAAACGACTCTCTTGCCAAATCTTGAGGCGGCCGCTTAATTATTTTTAAAAACGCATTTGCATAAGATTTTTGCTGTTGTATTTCTTTTTTGTGGGTTTATTTTTCTTATTTGCTGCCGCTGCTGCTGCTGATTTTTATTTCTTTTTTTTTTTTTGTATTTATGTAAGAAACTTTTTTCTAATTTTTAGTTGGAGGCGAGCACTGGAAAAATGATTTCTATTACGATGGCTGTTTCACCACCGGGCACAATAAATTTTATATCTACACGATATATAAATATTGCTATGCTCTTTCTTCACACGCACACAAACACACACGTAGAGGCACACACGCAGACAATCACCGTCTGGAGTATCGCGTATCCGTCAGATGCAAAGATACAAAAGCAAAGACAAAGCAACAACCGTTCGCTGGGGCACACGTCGCACGAATAAAACGGCCAAAAAGACTGCCAGAGCCAGAGCCAGAGCCAAACACTTGACGGCAAATCCACAAAAAAGCACCAACCAAAAAGCCAAAAGAAAACACAAAATGCAAACACAACAAAGCCACACAAAAAACAGAGACGAAATGAAAAGTGTTTCTTTTGGTTTGAATTTTTGTGTGTTTGGTTTTTTGCTTTTGGCTCTCTGTTGTTGTTGTCTTCTGTGGCGTCTTTCAACGGGGCTTTGGCCAATGCATTTGTGTGCCTGTACGTTTTGGCCTCGTTTGCTTACGGTACGGACGGCTGCGACTGCGATTGCGTTTGTGGAACGGGACTGTAGGTAGAGACGATCGATTCGGTCGTGAAAACGTTTGCAAAGTCAGCGCTCAACTGGTTCGCAGGCCGCCGCTCAAATTGGTTTTATACGCGGATCGGATCCCACAAGCTGAGAGCAAATGCTACAGAGATTCATTGCATTCGCAAAAGAGCTACCCAAAGAGCTCTGGTCCAAAAGAGAGCAGAGAGCCATTGAGGTAGGTTGAGCGCATGCGCAGACTCCACTTTTTCATTGAGTGCTGCCAACCTGGTTTACTCTTTTGCCTGTGGCAGTGGCAGTGCTGCCTATTCGGTAGTGTGTTTTGGTTATCTGGGATGAGGACAAGTTTCGGCTTTCATTCAAAATTTTGGCCAGGCCTTAAGGTCTTCTTAGTCATGCCGAGTTCATGGCTTATTGAAATACGAATAGTGTTGAACTTGTTCTAACTTTGAATGCGTCAGAATTCACTTACGAGTTCGCGAGAATCTGCTCTTTCAATGCCTCAACTACACTGCCTAAAGGTAGTGCCATTTGGTGAAGACTTTTAAACAAAAATACGTAGCTTAAAAATATATTTCAGCGAGCGATCAGAGCTTCATTTATGAGCCAAAACAAAGTGTATTCTAGGCCTCGACTTTACCCACATCCGCTGTCCTTCCTTTCTCGTTTTTTTCAATTAACATAATTAAAAAAGTAAAGGCGAGCAAAAGCAAACCACAAAATGTATAAAATTAAAATTAGCATAAGAACAACTTTTAGTTTTATTTAATCCTCTTTTTTTTTGTATTTTCATTGGTTGGCTGGTATTTGCTGTATATTTTTGGGAAACTTTAGTGTGGTTTTAATTTTTGCTTTTTGTGGTTGTATATTTTGGTATGCTGTTAACTCCGCGTCAAGTTCATCAAACACGTCTGATTAGGAGACCGTACACCCGCCCCGATACCGATACTGGTTGTGGCTCTGGGCTTTCGTCTGTTTATCTGCCTTTGGGCTGGTGGGGTTTTTGGGCAAGTCAGCTGCTGGCCCGGGCCTGGGCCTGGTCTCTGACCAGGTATGAGATCTGGTCATTTGAATGCCAAAGGCATCGCCCGTTTGCTCTTTTCACATTTGCCGTTGGCTCTTTTTTGGCTCTAAAAATCAAATTTATGATGAGCGCGAACAACGAATTTATTACCAGCTACGGATCGACACCAAAAAACCAGCGAAAAAAAGTGGCCCGGGCCAATGCGAAACACTTTTTTTTTGGCTTAAATGTCAAACTAATTTAAACAAGAGGAGAGCCATTAAAACTGGATTAATTAAAGGCGCAACGGCAGCAGCCACCACTGCCACATCGGACAACCAAATTAATGCATTGATGGACATCAAATGGATCTCCCAGTCGATGCTCACTTTAAGGCCACTGAATGGGCAGGGGTTTCAATAGTGGAATCGAGCGATTGATTAATGGATTGTGTGATGGTAGATATTGTAACTAATATGGGTTTGAGATGGGTTTTTGCAGCGATCATCAAGGAGCAGATTAATAGAAATGTATTCAACTTTATTAGCCACACATAATAAAGGTTTTTTTATTGACTGAATAACTGAGTGTCTGATGGACAGATAATTAAAAACTTATAAAGAAGAATCTGTTGACTGAACTTGCGATTGAATGACTCATTCTTCAAGAATATCAAACGGAAAGAACTCTGTGAGTACATGAATTATTGATAGATTGATTGGTTGCCACTAAGCCACTATTCAAGTGATTAGCTAGCAGACCTGACTGATTATCTTTTATGGCGCCCAACATTTGTCATTCGCATTGGCGTCTCAGGTCTGCCTGAGGTCTGCGTTGCCTTCTCGCCTTCCTGGCCTGCCGTAATTAGCACACTTTGCTTATATAATTACTTCAAATATTTTAATTAACAAGTGGCCACTATCAGGGCGTATGCGCAATGTCGCTTACCTGCCGCACTCCGTCAATTAAAGTCTGTTGAGGTGCTCCACAATCCACAAGTTCCAATACAGCAAAACCCGAACGCAAGCCGCACCGCACCGCAGCAAACTGAACTGAAACTGAACCAATAAAAGGAAAGGAAAGGTGTTGACCTTGTCCAACGACAGGCCAAACACGCATCGCGTTCCAGGCCATGTCTGTGCCGCCTCTGAGGCGTTAACTCTCACAGCTGCTCCCTTCCCACCAATTGTCGGCGAAGAGCCCTTCACAAGAACTGAGTCTCTCAACTGAGCCGCTCGAGAGTAAAAAAGTGAAAGCTGCAAGAGTCATCCCTAAGTAATTTCAAGTTCAAGGTTTTCTGGTCACTGGTATTTAAACACTTTTCACATATTAAATGAATATATAACTTGGACATATAAATATATATATATTCAGATATTGTATAAGTATGTATGTGTGCCCGCGTTTGTGCTAATTTCTTGACATTTACCGCTTTCGTTTCGGGGCTTTTGTTGTTGCCACACTTGATCACTGAAATTATGTCCATAATTACGCTGATGTTAATCGATTTTTAAGTCGTTTTTCCCCCTCCAAAACACACACACACACACACACACACACAGTTTACTCTGGGCTTTATTTGTGTTTCTTTTTTTGAAGCGGATTATACAACAAATATTTAACACCTTGCAGACAATGGAAGTCGCGTTTTTTTATTGGGATTTGGATTACCGGCTGGTGGTTCCCTTTCCCGTCTACAATTTTTGAATTGCTTTTCAAATCCACTCGGTAAATTAAATCGTGTGGATGCCAGTCGACAGGTAATAGCCCCCTTCGTCCGTCTAATGGCTGAAAGTCAATAAAATATATCAAGTTTTAATTCATTTCGTACGAGTATTTTTGTTGTTATTGGCTGCCCTGTTGCCACGCCAAAGCCAAAACAATTTTTGCATTCAAAAAATACTTGGACTAGCCACTAACTGCAGGTTATTATTATCTAGAGCATGAAATTCGAATGACCGAACGCCTGACTGGAGCTCAGCTCGGACTTAGACAAGTGCTGGCCACTGGCCAAGAGATTGTTATAATAACAGAACCTACAATCTGATTGGGGAGCATGCCGCTCAAGGCGCCTTTTGATTGCACTGCCATCAGATTAGGGAGTGCTTAGAGAGGGATTACATGGGATTGGGGTATCAGTATCAAGGTGTTCGTTCGAATGGAGCTTGTTTTGGGGTATTACTCTCGTAAGTGTCTTATATCAAGGTGTTCAATGGATGTGGATGGGTTAAGCTTTATTGGTTTTTATTATTGTTTCCCAAAGCTACCTCTTAGCGGATGCTGTCATTACTCTAACTCCTGCCACACATTACACCCACTGCCGCTGTGATAATTCCTGCCATTCCTTTCCTTTCTCCACAGCAGACACCCACATAATTCTGCCCAACACTTGCCCAATCCAATTCAATTCGAAGCGAAGCGTTTCCTTAACCAATTTGTCGGCGGCAGAGTATTGCAATTTACCTAAACAACATCGCTCGTGCTGCAGCAGCAGCAGCGGCAGCGGCAGCGGCCAATGAAGTCAATTACTCAATTCCCCCTGCCCCAGCAGAATGCGGGAGGGGCAGAAGACGCGGTGCAGTGGAGGGTGATGGCAAACAATTGCTGCTTAAAGCCGATGTTGAATTGGCGCTGACTGCAACTACATCTGTGTCTGCCTCTGTCTCTCTCTCTCTCTCTCTCTCTCTCTCGCTGTCCGCCCTCTTGGCTACTGCGCGCCACTTAAATTCCAACTTAAACTAATTTTGCTGAGTACACACACAGGCACACAGCTGCACCGAAGTAAGCTCACGTGCAGACAGGCCCCAAACGAGCGAGAGAGAGAGAGAGAGTGTGATGGAATGGGCACTAGTCCAAAGAGAGGCCCAGAGACTGCCCAGAGACTGTCGTCAGCAGCTCGTTTGCGTTCGTTTCTTAAGTCGTTCGATTTTCGGCTGACACTAAACTGTGGCACTAAAGTGTTGATGTTTGTTGGTGGTGAATACCCTTTAAAGAGGGTATGCGGGTTTTTTGTAAATATATTTGAAGCCACAAAGGTAAATATTTACGCTCTTCTCTAGTGGAACTCTTTAACAACTTTGACAACAAATTAAAGTTTAATTTAGATTTCAATTATTGCCTTAGAAATTCTGCATCCTTTAGGGTATCAAAACCGGCGGCTCTCCCTCGACTACACATCCTTTCAGGTACTTGCTTGTTGTAATTTTTTTCGTTGCTTTGCTTGGTGTTGCTTGTTTGTTGTCGTTTGGCGCTTGTCGATTTTTAAGCCAAGTTTGTTTTGGGTCTTTTTTTATGTTTGGTTTTATTTTGTCTTTTTTTGTTGG